ACTACAACAATATTAGTGAACTGGCCACACAGCCACAACATGAACACTGCATAACTACAACAATATTAGTGAACTGGCCACACAGCCACAACATGAACACTGCATAACTACAACAATATTAGTGAACTAGCCACACAGCCACAACATGAACACTGCATAACTACAACAATATTAGTGAACTGACCACACAGCCACAACATGAACACTGCATAACTACAACAATATTAGTGAACTAGCCACACAGCCACAACATGAACACTGCATAACTACAACAATATTAGTGAACTAGCCACACAGCCACAACATGAACACTGCATAACTACAACAATATTAGTGAACTAGCCACACAGCCACAACATGAACACTGCATAACTACAACAATATTAGTGAACTAGCCACACAGCCACAACATGAACACTGCATAACTACAACAATATTAGTGAACTAGCCACACAGCCACAACATGAACACTGCATAACTACAACAATATTAGTGAACTGGCCACACAGCCACAACATGAACACTGCATAACTACAACAATATTAGTGAACTGGCCACACAGTCACAACATGAACACTGCATAACTACAACAATATTAGTGAACTAGCCACACAGTCACAACATGAACACTGCATAACTACAACATTGTTAGTGAACTAGCCACACAGCCACAACATGAACACTGCATAACTACAACAATATTAGTGAGCTAACCACACAGCCACAACATGAACACTGCATAACTACAACAATATTAGTGAACCAGCCACACAGCCACAACATGAACACTGCATAACTACAACAATATTAGTGAACTAACCACACAGCCACAACATGAACACTGCATAACTACAACAATATTAGTGAACTAGCCACACCATGAACACTGCATAACTACAACAATATTAGTGAACTAGCCACACAGCCACAACATGAACACTGCATAACTACAACAATATTAGTGAACTAGCCACACAGACACAACATGAACACTGCATAACTACAACAATATTAGTGAACTAGCCACACAGCCACAACATGAACACTGCATAACTACAACAATATTAGTGAACTGGCCACACAGCCACAACATGAACACTGCATAACTACAACAATATTAGTGAACTGACCACACAGCCACAACATGAACACTGCATAACTACAACATTATTAGTAAACTGGCACACAGCCACAACATGAACACTGCATAACTACAACATTATTAGTGAACTAGCCACACAGCCACAACATGAACACTGCATAACTACAACAATATTAGTGAACTAGCCACACAGACACAACATGAACACTGCATAACTACAACAATATTAGTGAACTAGCCACACAGCCACAACATGAACACTGCATAGCTACAACAATATTAGTGAACTGGCCACACAGCCACAACATGAACACTGCATAACTACAACAATATTAGTGAACTGACCACACAGCCACAACATGAACACTGCATAACTACAACATTATTAGTAAACTGGCCACACAGCCACAACATGAACACTGCATAACTACAACATTGTTAGTGAACTGAGAGCTTACTTTTTTTTAGATTACACTCATGCTGGAATATAATACAGTGGTACCTCGGTATGCGTTAGTAATTCGTTCCTGATCCTTAGACATATACCAAACAATATGTATACAAACCTCATTTTTCCAAAAGAAATAAATGAATACATTTTAAATCCATTCCTATGAAAAAACATTATAATGTTACTGGCATATTATACATTGATAGAGTTTAATAAAATAATAAATAGACTGCCTAAATGCTAAAATACAGAAATACAAAAGAAATAAGTTTTAATTTAAAAAAAAAAAATGATAATTTAACCTCACTTTACCTCACGGAGAAGAGTCAAGTGTCTTCTAGGATGGTGCTGACAAACTTAAAAGCAAATAAATTATGACAAAACACAAACATATAACTAGAAAAACCGCACACATTCAGATTACTAAAAAACACATACATAACTACAAAACACAAATTACTACAAAACACAACCAAATAATAAAAAAACAAAAAAAATTACTACAAAACACATATAAAAGTAAAGTAAAAGTAAAGATCCCTTATCACGCCTTAGGTGCAAGGGAAGAGCGTCCCATATTTTTACACACCAATCGGCACTGGATGGGTAATGTGGTCAGCATTACGCAGGCCATCTTTATTTCCCCAGGACAGCCATCCTGGTACCCATTTTAGGCTTGGTCGACCTGCGATGCCCCATACCATGATAAAAATCCATGCAGCCAGCAGTGGGTTTCGATCGCGGTACGTTGGATTATGAGTCGGACTCGCAACGCCTAAGCCACGGACGCCGCCACAAAACACATATACATTACTATAAAACACAAATTACTGCAAAGCAAACAGACAAACCTGATAGATCAGCCTTGACAACTTTTGTGGAATAATCTGAAGGAAAGTATCCCAGAGTTCCCTCAAATCCATCTGCTCCTTCAACACATTTCTCATAGACGAGGTCAGGGTCTATAGGCAGCCACATTCAGATATTCAGGGAACGAAGTTTAGTTTATCATCACAGCAACTTTTATTTACCATCAAACATGACTTGAATGTATTATAACACAGAACTTGTATTTACCGTCATGCAAAACTTGTATTTATAAACACACACAACTTGTATTTAACATCATGCACAACTTCTATTTATAGCCATACAGAACCTGCGTTTACCATCACACACACACACAACTTGTTATATTATGCTATGTTATGAGAAATATCACTGCACATTGGGCATTCCCATGCGTGCTCAGTCCCCCGATACAGCAGCCACTCCAAGGTACCTCTACTGATTGCTCCCATGAGAAGCTGGTTGTACCGTCTCCTGTCCTGGCCTTAAAGATGGCACAGATATGCTTTACCAAGCTTTACTCCTAGGTCATGTGATTTGTGTTAGCATTAGAAAATCATCATCATATATCAGCCTAGGCTGTACAGTATTGATGATGTCAGCACCGTTCATGCTTCTTGCCATATGTACTGGTACATTACAGACCAGCTTGTCAGTTTGTTTATTACCATTACCTCAGCCTGCCCAGGTGTGTAGATCCAGGTGATGGTTAACTGCGACTTCTGAATGTTTCAGAGCGTAGACTACCCTGATGAAATTTTCTCTATAAACAAAGAGACTTGGTTGAACAGATGGGCCATGGGAGACACTGGAAGAGAGGTTTATAGACATATGGCTGGCCCTGATCCTAATGACAGCATTAACCATCTAACAAGAAGGGACCAGGCCACCATCTTCAGACTTAGAACGCAACATACTCCACTCAATGGACATCTAAACAGAATACAGCCACAACACTCCCCAGTGTGCCAGCTATGTAACTACCCCTACAAAACTGTTAAACACCATCTCTTTGAGTGCCCAAAACTCAACGAGACTAGAAGAATGCTACTCCCTCTGAGACCAGACAAGTGGAACACCTTGTACGGAGGAAAAGAACAGCTTGTGAAAACATGTAAATTCCACTACATGGCATTGGGCCAAAGGGCGAAAGCTCATGCGCCGCTGGATCGATAACAACAACATGTTCATGGAGTCTAATACAATTACTGCATGTATGGCCACTTGTTCTGCTGCCCATGTGAGTGCTATGGAAGCTGCAGTTATTTCCATGATCAAGCTTACTGTAATTGCATAGTAAGCATCACTATCCACTTTGATTGTTTGTCTCATCCTTGGCTTTGTGTATCCCCATGCTGACCTTGACCCGCTCTTTGTGGACCCATTGTGTAGACGATGATGTTTGTTGGACTTGAATGCTGATCTATTAGTGCCTTTATTTCAGTCTACAGATCATTCAAACAGATAGGTACGCAAAGCTCAAGTTCTGTAACAAGACTAAAGCCCAGAAGTGGACAAACAACCAGACTTTTCTGCAGGAGCTTACAATCAGCGAATGCCAAAAAGAAAGAGACTGATAGCACTGGGCAGTGTATAGTTAATGTCTGCTGATCCCTCATGTACGCGTGATACCCTAATCTACACCTGATAACCTCATGTACACCTGATTATCTTATGTACACCTGATACCCTCATGTACACCTGATACCCTTATGTACACCTGATACCCTCATGTACACCTGATACCCTCATGTACACCTGATACCCTTATGTACACTTGATACCCTAATGTACACCTGATACCATTATGTACACTTGATACCCTAATGTACACCTGATACCCTTATGTATGCCTGATACCCTCATATACACCTGATACACTAATTTACACCTGATACCCTTATGTACACTTGATACCCTAATGCACACCTGATACCCTTATGTACACTTGATACCCTAATGTACACCTGATACCCTTATGTACGCCTGATACCCTCATATACACCTGATACACTAGTGTACACCTGATTCCCTCATGTACACCTGATACCCGCATGTAAACCTGATACCCTCATGTACCCCTGATTCCCTCATGTACGCCTGATTCCCTCATGTACACCTGATACCCGCATGTAAACCTGATACCCTCATGTACGCCCTGACCTATGGTCATCACTGGTAGATCAAGAACATACCGCAAGGCGCGGCAGGGGGTTGTCATTTATGGCTAGCAGAGAATGAGTCTTATTGCCTCAGTTTGTTTAACCCTGCCCAGTTTGTTTTAGCTGGGTTCTGCTGAGTTAGGAGCAACTTGTATTTTCCAACACAAAAATCAATAGCGTTTTTGTCAACAGGCAACCACTTCGTGCTGTGAACTGTGCTCCACTGGAAGATAAACGGCAGAAGATGAGAAAGAAGGAGAAGAAAACAAGAAAACAAGAAAAAGCCTTTAGGGTTGGACAGTTTCTTCATAAGAATAACAAAATAAAAATGAGAAGAAGAAGAGAAAGAAAAAGAAAAAGAAGAAGAAAAAGAAGATGAAGAAGAAAAAGAAAAAGAAGAAGAAGAAGAGAAAGAAGAAAATGAAGAAGCACTTACGGTTGCATAGCTTTTTCAGCTGTGTGATGGCAGAGAGACTGCTACTGGAAGTTTTGTTGGAGTCGACATTCTCACAGCGAGCCATCTGTGAGCTGACAAACTTCTGGTAGAGAGATTTCTGGAGGGTAGTCAGCTGGCAGCAGATTACATGTTCATCTGAGGGATACAAGGCATACTAGTTGTAGCACGCTAGACAATACAAGACAAAGTAGTTGTAGCAAGAGACCATACAAAACAAAGTAGTTGTAGCAAGAGACGATACAAGACAAAGTAGTTGTAGCAAGAGACGATACAAGACAAAGTAGTTGTAGCAAGAGACGATACAAGACAAAGTAGTTATAGCAAAGAGACAATACAAGACAAAGTAGTTGTAGCAAGAGATGATACAAGACAAAGTAGTTGTAGCAAGAGATGATACAAGACAAAGTAGTTGTAGCAAGAGATGATACAAGACAAAGTAGTTGTAGCAAGAGATGATACAAGACAAAGTAGTTGTTGCAAGAGATGATATAAGACAAAGTAGTTGTAGCAAGAGACAATACAAGACAAAGTAGTTGTAGCAAGAGACGATACAAGACAAAGTAGTTGTAGCAATAGACAAAGTTTACGGTAGCAGTAAAGACACTTTATATTTACACTGGGTTCTTTTCAGCTATTTCGCCCCATCTAGGAATTCCTAGGTAGTTCCCCAGAAGGTCCTATAGAGTATGGAGGTTAAGGTTAGGGTCAGTGTTAGTCGGTGTTATTTAACAGTAACGCCTTGACACTAAAAGTTTACTGTAGCAACAAAAACACTTTATAATAACACATTGTAATAAACTGCAGATAGCTTACATCTCGACAACCAACTGATGTAACTAAATAAACAGCTTACATCTTTGCCATACGTCTGATGTGATGAAAATAACATAATAAACTACAGCATACACCTCTGCTATACAATAACAATGGAACAAACTGGAGACTACTTACATTTGACAGGCAGGTACTGAGTCAACAGCGACTGTGTTCGTCTTATGATACATCTATTAACAATGGACAGCAACTGTGGACAAAGAGAGCAATCAATGTAGGGTTTTCTTCACTACATACGGACTACAACACATTTGTTGTTGTAATATACATTTAGGCCACGACAAGGTCAATACACATTTTGAAATGTATATAGACCATTACCTCACAGTGTGGGTTCTGGAGTCCTAATTAAGGAGAAAACAAGAATAGACCCACTGCTTTTCTATCAAGCATGTCACAAAAGGCAACTAACTGTGGATTTTCCCGCACAAGTTGGAGCATTTCTGCCTGAGAGGTGAGTCGCTAACAGCTTGCGTAAAAATAAGCAGAAGGTAAAACTGATGTGCACGCAAAATTCAAGTTCTGGAACAAGACTTTCTTCTTCTTCTGCGTTCGACATCAGTCATGCTAAACATTGAGTCCCGTCTGGGTCACAAATAGGATTGTGCGTTTAAGGTTGCCACCGGTCCTCCATAGCTTCTCTTGCAATGTGGCTCCCTTGGGCCAGATCCAGTTGGAACAAGACTAAAGTTCAGGAGTTGATGAACAGCCAGAACTTTTCACCTGTGTTAACAGCCATTGAATGCTAAAAAGAAGAAAAAGATTATGACCTGTACTCTTCAGCTGGTGGTGCATGTTTGGAGATTATGACCTGTACTCTCCAGCCTGTGGTGCACATTTTGAGATTATGACCTGTACTCTCCAGTCTGTGATGCACATTTTGAGATTATGACCTTTACTCTTCAGTCTGTGATGTACATTTAAAGATTATGACCTGTACTCTCCAGTCTGTGATGCACATTTTAAGATTATGACCTGTACTTTCCAGTCTGTGATGCACATTTTAAGATTATGACCTGTACTCTCCAGTCTGTGATGCACATTTTAAGATTATGACCTGTACTCTCCAGCCTGTGATGCACTTTTTGAGAATATGTCCTGTACTCTCCAGTCTGTGGTGGATGTTTTGAGAAAATGACCTGTACTCTCCAGTCTGTGATGCACATTTTAAGATTATGACCTGTACTCTCCAGCCTGTGATGCACTTTTTGAGAATATGTCCTGTACTCTCCAGTCTGTGGTGCATGTTTTGAGATAATGACCTGTACTCTCCAGTCTGTAGAGCATGTTTTAAGATTATGACCTGTACTCTCCAATATGATGCCCAACAGTCAATAGTATTAAGTGTTATTTGCATTCTGTTCAGTGCCGTGACCAGATATCCTGTAACCAATATCACTGGGATGTTAGCCAGCTAAGTTTGCTATTCTTCATCTTCCTCTTTGCATCCACTGGCTGTAAACTCCGGCAGAAAGTTCTGAGTGTATTTAGTCTTGTTCCATAACCTGAGTTTTGCGTATGCAGCTGTTTCACAGATCTGGCTTAGTTGTACGCAGACTGCTGGTTCCTTGCCTCTCAAGCAGATGTACTCTGACTTCAAAGGATTCTCAGATTTAGTCAACTCCTATGTCATGCTTGATTTCCCCTGTACAGTGGGGCACCAGAACTCACACGAGGAATCTGCTATTCAAGACGACAAATTTATTTTCTTCTCAGGCGGATCCGTAATGGGAGATAACATATAGCATAAAACAGACAGCAAGCAGAATTTTACTATGGCAACAGCCAAACAAATAGCCAGCACAAACCTCCTGCAGTTTCTCCTCCCCTTTTTTGTGATCTTCATCAGTAGCATCAGCATCTCTGCCTCGCAGTATCGGTGTCTCAAACCTCCGCTTGAACTCCTGGGCTGTGCCTGAAGCAGAGAACAAGAAAGAGATATCACGTGCAGATGTTCAGCTGATGCATGCAACAGTGGGCCTGCTAAAACCATTTTACCCCGTAAATGCTTATTTCAACAAAAACAAAATAAAAAGGCCATGAACTCGCTCAGAGGATTTGATCATTTACACAGACGGTTCAGTGTCAAGAGGCAAAAGATGTGCATGGGGCTTCTTAGCAAAAGTGAATGGTCGATTTTTGGTGCAGGAGAGCCTAGCATGTGATACCACAACATCCAGCTTAAGAATGGAGGTGGAGGCAGCTTTCCGCTGGCTAGAGAACACAACTCACACACACATCGTGATTGTAACTGATTCAGAAAGCATGCTGAGGAAGATCAGGACAGGCATGCTTCCTGCAGAGAGGCATGCCTCGCTGCGGATGATACAGGTGAGGAGTATTGTCTGGATTTTTTCACCAGGGTATGCCGGTGTGTTGGGAAATGAACAGGCTGACAGACTGGCTGGCTCTGCACAGATTAGTGGAATACTGATGCATGATAAGGCAGACGTGGTTAGTGCCTTGTGGGAGAGCGTGTACAGTTCGGAGGAACAGATGGATCACCACAGTCTGGTGAGATTGACGCAGGCGGGAGTGACGAAAGGTTCTGGCAGATGCTCGAGGATCAGAGGAAAGGCAAGACGGACGTTTAATCAGAATGTTACTGGCACCATTAGTATCTGAACTCTTCGCTGGCCGCTAAAGATGGAGATGGAGCACTTGTGAGAATGCCCTGAGTGCTGTGATATCATTTCCTGAATCAAATCGAATAGAATCTACACACACAAAATTGGGCGTGCGGGGGGGGGGGGGGGGGGGGGGTAACGAGTAATCAATGAACACAAACACATTGTAGCACTAAATGAAATACATATAGGGACCTAAAAAAATATTTATCATATGACTCATGCTTTGACCTTGTGACCTCTATAGTTAAAGCTATGGGAAAGTCTGACGCCCACACATCTTTAGAAAAGCCATATCGGTTTGCACAAAAAAAAAAAATCACCCTAAATGCTGCTTTTGGTAAATATATTCATATTTTGACCTCCTAAAAACACTGCACAAGTGCAAACACAACCAATGATGCTAGCTAGGTGCCTTGTAAACATATCACTGTAAGGATGAAGGATGAGATGTGGGCACAGCCGTAGGATTTTATGAGGGCATTCAGCGGCTGTAAACTCTAGCAGAACAATTGGGTTGTCTACTTTTAGATTTTACTCTTGTTCCAGAACTCAGGTTTTGCATGCAGATCCATTTTACAGATCTGGCTTATCTGCATGCAGACTATTGGTTAGGTTACTTACCTCTCAGGAAGATGCACTCCAACTTCGAAGAAAACACCCATAACCAGTCTACTCTTACGACAAGCTTGTTGGGGGAGGGGAAGGGGGTCTATTCTTTTCCTTTTACAGAACCTATACAAGGACAATGAAGTTGATACTATCGCCTTCAAGTACAATTTTTGTCTTGACTGAGTAACTGGTCGAGGACCTATGCTAAACTGCGGAATAAAGAGCAGAAGGAGAAACAACAACCAACCTAAAATACCCTTGTTGACAAAATGTAAGAGGCTGAAGTATTCCAGCAGATCATTTTGTATCGGGGTGCCAGACAAGAGGATGCGCCGCTTAGCGTTCAGGTTGGTCAGAGCTTGGTAAGTCTGGTTCTCTGAGTTTTTCAGCCGATGCCCCTGAAAATGTCAATGATCAATATAAAATAAATCTGAAACAAGCCACTATCTCCGACCACAAAATCTAATATATGACATAGCTTGTCGTCATACTATGCCACCAAATTTGATGAAGTTATCACGAAAAGATATCAAACCAAATGAAATGAAAAGCAGAACCAGTTAACTTGACATTATCATAAACCTAAATGACAAGTGAACGTGGGGTGTGTCACCATGGCGACATGGTCAAGCCATCTGCCTTGCTCTCTGAAGGTCATGGGTTCATTTTAACGTGGCACTGTTCAGTTTACAAGTGCAATTTTTACGAAGATCCCTGGGGATATTTGCCGGAGCTAAAGAGGTCGTGCTCTGTGCCACGCTCTCGGAAGACAGTCAGCTGTTCTCAGGAAAGAGACTGAGCCATATGGGATAAAACCCAGGGCAATGAAGTCGAGCCCCTCACCAAGAAAATGACAAGTAAACGTCTCGCTGCAGCAACAGAGTTCGTGCTTTATGTGATGCTCTCAGCAGTCGACTAGCTGCTCTCTGGATAGAGATCAATCTATATAACACCCAGTGTGTTCTTCTTCTGGTTGTTCGTCCCCTTCTGAACTTCAGTCTTGCTCCAGAACTTGAGTTTTGCATGTACATGCCTTTGACAGAATTGGCTTATTTGTATGCAGACTGTTGGTTTCTCACCTCTCATATAGATGCAAACTTTGTAGGAAATACCTCTAATAGGAAATACCTCTAATTAGTCAACTTTTATGACATGTTTTTTTTTGGGGGGGGGGGGGGGGGGGGGTCTATTCAACCCACTCACCCAGTGAGGCCCCAGAACCCACTGCAATCTTCTTCTTCTTCTTCGCGTTCACCAGCTGTACACTCTGGCGTAAAGTTCTGGTTGTTCGTCCACTTCTGGACTGCAGTTCTGCTCCAGAACCTGAGTGTTGCGTGTGCATCAGTTTTACAGATCTGATTCAATTGAATGTAGACTGCTGGTTCCTTGCCTCTCAGGCAGATGCACTCCGACTTCAAAGGAAGCTCCCCAAGTAGTCGACTCTTACGACATGCTTTTGGTGAGGCAGTGGGTCTATTCTTGTTTTCCCCACAATAGGGCCCCGGAACCCACACGGGGGCCCACTGCAATGAAGGGTATCCTCTTGACTTTAACTTTAACTCATACAGCCACAACATATCACTAAACCTAATCATCATCATCAATCAGCAAATACTTTACAGAATGTAGCTCTCTTCACGGCACGCCTGAAAGTATCCCTTTCCCTAGCCAGCTCTCCAACCCCATGTGCTTTCATTTCCAATGTATCTTCAATGTCCTGTCTCCATCTTCACGGAGGTCGACCCCTGCCTTGCCTTCCACAAACTGCACCCTCCAACACAGTCTTTTTCAAGTCACCAGGACATTTGATATGGCCAAAATACTTCAACTTTCGGGATGCTGTTTATGAGCCAGTTCTCTTGGATGTTTAACTCGTGTAGAATGTTGATGTTTTACCTCTTCTTTATCCATATTGTTCAGAGAACTTTTCTGTAACATTTTAATTCAAAAGCTCCAATCTTTTTCCTCAGTGACTGTGTGAGAGCCCAGTACTCGCAACCGTAAGTTGCCACAGGAAAAAATGCATGATCACAAGATCATAATATAAGCCATAATTTCCCACCTTTTAGAAAAAGTAACAATGACCATGAACCCTGTTTGCAGACGTCAACATCTGCAGAAACTAACCTCATCACAAATTATCAATCCAACTTCTCCTTTGTGCAAGACCGAGGCATGCAGACGGAAAGTTTCATAGGAAATGATCAGCACTGGGAACTGTGTCCGTCTGCCTTGCTGTTGCATGAAGTGACCTAGGATAAGAACATCATCATTACAGATTGTTCACATACAATTACACCCCACTGTACAAATTAGCCTTGCACTTCTCTTACTTATTCTCTCTCACACATACAAAAATACTGTACAGTTAGCCGTATGTTTCTCTCACATACATATACATAAAATATATTTAGTTATTTCAACAAGTCAAGATTAGACAGTACTGGTCAACAGCCTACAGTCTCTCAGTATGAACATGGCTGACAGTGGATCAGATGTGCAGACACTCAGCCATACTGTCTTAATACAACTGACAGTAGATCAGAGTTTAGAAAATCTTCGGCCATCTTGAGTGAACATGGCTGACAGACAGTGGATCAGATGTGCAGACACTCAGCCATACTGTCTTAATACGACTGACAGTAGATTCGAGTTTAGAAGATGTTCGGCCATCTTGAGGAACATGGCTGACAGTGGATCAGATGTGCAGACACTCAGCCATACTGTCTTAATACGACAAACAGTAGATCAGAGTTTAGAAAATCTTCGGCCATCTTGAGTGAACATGGCTGACAGACAGTGGATCAGATGTGCAGACACTCAGCCATACTGTCTTAATACGACAAACAGTAGATCAGAGTTTAGAAAATCTTCGGCCATCTTGAGTGAACATGGCTGACAGTGGATCAGATGTGCAGACACTCAGCCTTATTGTCTTAATACGACAAACAGTAGATCAGAGTTTAGAAGATGTTCGGCCATCTTGAGTGAACATGGCTAACAGTGGATCAGATGTGCAGACACTCAGCCATACTGTCTTAATACAACTGACAGTAGATCAGAGTTTAGAAGATGTTCGGCCATCTTGAGGAACATGGCTGACAGTGGATCAGACCTGTTTAAAAAAAAAAAAAAAAAACAGCCAGACATCTTGTACTCACTGATATTCCTGTCTATCTCACTTTTGCTCCCAGAATCAATCGCCAGAGTTGTGACCTTTGAACTCAGCCACTTGTTGAATTCATTCTGCCAGTTCTGTTAATTGTACAAAAATGTTTCAATAATTTATCACAAGAACTGCACAGTACTAGAAATGCATTAAAAAAAATTTTTAAAACAAAAAAACAAAAAAAAAACAACAACAACACAGTAAAGAGGAGAACCCTTCTGACCTACTTGGCACAGTGAGCATACGGTGCTAGATGCAGAGGTCTATAGTCCTATCATATCAGCACCTTTACTTACCAACACGTTTCCTGTTACCCATTTTACAACCCAAAAAAATTAAAATTAAGAAAGGGGGTAAACAGATGCAAGACAAGCTACATGTTGTAAGGGCCCCTGAGGTAAACAGTCCGGGGGCAAAAAACAGATCATCGAGGTCTGAAGAGAACGGCGCAGCGATGGATGACCAGGGAATCTGGTCAACACTCAAAACATGATCAACACTTAAAACATGGTCAACACTCAAAACATGATCAACACTCAAAACATGGTCAACACTGAAAAAATGGTCAACACTCAAAACATGGTCAACACTCAAAACATGGTCAACACTCAAAACATGGTCAACACTCAAAACATGGTCAACACTCAAAACATGGTCAACACTCAAAACATGGTCAACACTCAAAACATGGTCAACACTCAAAACATGGTCAACACTCAAAACATGGTCAACACTCAAAACAGAGTGGAGGGGCAAAATGGACATACAATCAGACTATTACTGGTACCATCAGAATTGAAACTTTGTACCTGCTGCTGAAGATTGGGACAGAGGGGTTCTGGGAATCTCCTTAGTTTATGTCGGCTTATAACACATAAAAGAACTTGTTGGCACCTTTTTTGCCTTTCCAGACAATTGTGTTATACTGTACTTTAAGTAAGACAGAGAATGATAGTCCATAGTGATGGCAAGTGTCCTTGCCAGGCAATATGATCTCTCTCTTTTAGCCTACCCTGTTAACTCCAAAAGGAAAGGTAACATCAATATTTGGAACAAAGTACAGCACAGAAGTTGCCAGATCAGAAGAGCAGTGCTCAGTCTGTCTTCCTGTCAGAACTTCCTTCCTAAACCAGCTGCCAGCCAAGGCTAAGGGCCAAGCATGTCCTGATATAGCATTAAGTTTTCAGGTGCTTTATCTCTTCCGAATGACTTGGGCCTTTTAGACTAGGCCGACCGTAAGTATTACCATATTTTTCCCGTTTATAAGGCACCCTCTTTTTTTTTTTTTAAACCCAAAATCAAGAAATCAATATTTTAAACACATTTCATTTGTAAGACAACACCCAATTTTAAACTTTAAAAATGTGGAAAAAACTTTGTCTGATACATAGAAAAATACTTTAATTCTATTTCTGATAGTTAGCATACTTTGGATATGTTCTTCAGGGGGTGTTGGTGCCTTGGGAAATGAGCAGGCAGATAGACTGGCCGGTTCACCACCACCTGGCGGTGAACTGATGAATGACAAGCTAGATGTTGTGAGGGCCCTTCAAAAGCGAGTGAACAGTGCGGTGGCCTAAACATATTGTTACGGTCTGAGGAGAATGGGGCTGCAAGACGTAACCAGGGGATCTGGCCAACACCCAACAATCAAGGGAAAGGTGAGATGAATATACAATTACTGGTCCCAGCGGAATTGGAACTCTTCACTTGCTGCTGAAGATGGGGATGGAGTGTTTATGGGAGTGTCCCGAGTGCTGTAATGTCGATTCGTCATTCAACATTCTGATAAAATCTATTTGTACTTGACGAGGAATCTACTTTCTATGAAATCTATCTATCAGTAAGTGAAGCATAGGCCATGTTTCACACCCTAAAACGTACAAAGGCGAAGGCCATGTTTCACACCCTCAGATGTACAAAAGTGAAGGCCATGTTTCACACCCTCAGATGTACAAAAGCGAAGGCCATGTTTCACACCCTCAAACATACAAAAGCGAAGGCCATGTTTCACATCCTTAGACGTACAAAGACAAAGGCCATGTTTCACACTCTCAAATGTACAAAAGCGAAGGCCATGTTTCACATCCTTAGACATACAAAAGCGAAGGCCATGTTTCACACTCTCAAATGTACAAAAGCGAAGAAGATGTTTCATACCCTCAAATGTACAAAAGCGAAAGCCATGTTTCATACCCTCAAATGTACAAAAGCGAAAGCCATGTTTCATACCTTCAAATGTACAAAAGCAAAGGCCATGTTTCACACCCTCAAATGTACAAAAGCGAAGGCCATGTTTCATACCCTCAAATGTAAAAAAGCGAAGGCCATGTTTCATACCCTCAAATGTACAAAAGTGAAAGCCATGTTTCATACCCTCAAACGTACAAAAACGAAGGCGATGTTTGACACCATCAAACATACAAAAGTGAAGGCCATGTTTCACACCCTCAGACACACAAATGCATATGGTAACATCAGCAGTGATACAAATATAGGTTACAGCACAGTCACTGTAAAGGGGTTACTAATGAGATATACAGGGATTTCTTTTTCTAGATAAAAAAAAGGTCTTGGTACTCGCCACAAAATGGCTATAACAGGTGCGGGTGCTCACCGTAATGTGTCTATTACAGTAGCGCCTTAAAAAAAACATTTTAAACAAATGTTTTGCACTGAGTACCGTTGCGTACCACTAGGAAAACTCCTGGACGTACACATTATGTTAAAAAGTGGACATTAAGAAGAGATTACCACAATTTATATATAATACCATGGACTAAACAAGTGGTAGACAACTCACCTTGACTAAACTGCTGGGACAGACAATGATCACCTTGGTCACAGTCGGGCAGAAATTGGGGCTCTGGCGCTGGGTACAAAATAAAAGGGAAAAAAAGAATAGTGACCAAAGTAGTGTGATTAAAGTTTGACGTTGCTATAGTAACCTGTGAGACCTTGCTACTGTAGAGTAGCTAGTGTGACTTCTTCTTCTTTACGTCCTCTTTGACCACTTCGGGTGTCGAGGGAGATATAAGGTCCTATTGCATGCTCTTCTGGCTGCTTCGACCATAAACACATCATGGTGCTGTAGAGTTCCTCTGATGTTATCTTCCCATCTTGTTTTTGGTCTACCTCCCGCTCTACGTCCCTTTCCTCTTTTGGTATATGCCTCGATTATATAACTGGTCACACATTATATAAATAGTTATAGATTACCAACTGGACACAGATTACTGAAGTGATTAAATATTATATAATTTATAACAGATTATATAACTAGTCAAGTATTATATAACAGGTCAAACACTAAATTAACATATTATGCAGCCAGCCGTATATTATTTTAATAAAGTTAGTTGTGTATCCTTTACAGGATGTCACAGAACCAGTCCCAGCATTATTTAAAAATACATTCAGTAGTTTGCCATTACTTACTGAACGGTCGGCTCTCGAAACCACCATCGAAACCAATGCAAGGCTGTCTGCTGCCAAATAAACTGCAGCTGGGATCAAACCTGGCACCCCGACAAGCATGTTCACAATGGTTTAAGCCACAGACGCCAATATACATTATAATAAACATGTGATATATTTAAGTGACAAAGTGATTTTGCCAGGGCAGTGTTTGAGCTCTGATGGCACCAGTAATAGACTGATTGTACAACCATCTTAACTTTCCCTTCAGCGTCGACCAAATCGCCTGGTCTCACCCTGCAGCACCATTTCGCTCAGATTGTAATGATCTCATTGTGCCTCCGCCCTCTCAAATAACCCTTACAACATCTAGTTTATTGCGCATCAGTTTGCCCCAAATGGTACATAACCAGCTAGTCTATCTGCCTGTTTGTTTCCCAAAACATCATCATGGCCCTCATATTCCTGCAGGAAACCAATGGCTAACAAAGAAAGCTGACTTGTAAACTACATGTCTGTAGCCTCAGTGATGTACATACCAGAAGAGTCCACACCAAGGCAACACACTGAAGAGTCTTGCCCAAACCCTAGGAGAAGCAACAAACACATTTATATCACAGAATTTCTTTGTTTTTGGAGACTACCTTCTTCTTATTCTGGGTCTGGCAGGGTTGGCGGGTTGTATTGTGGTTTACATCTGCATCTGTTATCTCAAAACATCTAATGTCTGCCAACTCCTACTTAGTTGAATTGTTTTTACATGCTTGTTAAAAAAAATGGATCTACCCCCCCCCCCCCCCCCCCCCCCCCCCCCCCCCCCCCCCCCAATAGGGCTCCAGGACCCCATTATTTGAAGTCATCATAGCCATGATAACACAAGGTTTGACAAATCCTGAAAGAAGACAGAGTATACTGGAGAAACTCTAAACGTACAATATATGATCAAGCAATCATGAAAGTGGACACATGATATTGAAGACATCTTGTGCATGTCAGTACATGATTCTTCTTCTTCGCATTCACCGGCTGTGAACTCCGGCGGAAAGTTCTAGTTGTTCATCCACCTCTGGAATTTGGACTTGTTTCAGTACAGACAACTCTTACAACATACTTATGAGGGAAGCAGAATTAATTTGATTTGATTTACAGCACTCGGGGCATTCCCATAAACGCTCCGTCTCCATCTTCAGCAGCCAGCGAAGAGTTCCGATACTAAGGGTGCCAGTAGCATTCTAATTAAATGTTCGTCTTGCCTTTCCTCTGAGCCTCGAGCATCTGCCAGAACCTCTTGTCACCCCCAACTGCATCAATCTCCCCAGACTGTGGTGATCCATCTGCTCCTCTGAATTGTACACGCTTTCCCACAAGGCACTAACCACGTCTGCCTTATCATGTATCAGTATTCCACTAAGTTGTGCAGAGCCAGCCAGTCTGTCCGCCTGTTCATTTCCCAACACACCGGCGTGAGGGAGGCAGTAAGTATTTTGGTATTTCTCTCATTATGGGGCCCTGGAACCCATACATGGACAGTCCATGATACAAGGACTGATCAATCCTGAAAGTGGACACAGGATACTGGAGAAACCTTGTACAAATGCGCTTGGACTTTTACGGTTCATGGTGGAGTTAAAAATGTGAAGCAAGATTCTAGTTCTGTTGCCTTGACCACAAGTAGTCTGACTATGGAGGTCATGGCAGTCACCAAAGCAATAACATGGCTGGAGATTCAGACCTTTTCACACGTGCAGGATGGAGAAGGGCTGGGCCCGAAGAAGGTGGTTGGAGTCTCTAAAGTGGTCAAGTTTATCACACAATCAGTTTCATATTTGTGCCAGGAGTGCAAGGAAATGAGCAAGCTGATCGGCTTGCAGGTAAAGCTACTGTGGAGGGCAGACGAGCAAAGGACAAGCTGATTTTCTAAATGCTCTTTGAGAAGTAAGACGTCTGCGAGAACCAAGTGATGACTGTGAATCTGCAACCATGACCAGACTACAAGAACAAAGTGTTAAGAGGGGTGTGGCCAGATAAGAGTGCTATGCAGGAAGTTAAAGAAGAATAAGAAACCAACCCAGGACTGGTGTCCTCAGCCGCTACATGCTGAAAGATTTGCTAAGGAGGGGATCCGAGCACTTGTGGACTGTATGGTTCAATGTGCAGTGAGGATAGTCTTTTGACTAACTAAACCTTGGACGACAATACTTGAAGCAGAGAAATTGGCAAGTGAATGCAACTTTCTGGTGAGTCTTGATGAGATCAACATTCTGCAGGCTCGAAGTTATTGTATGTCCATTTCAAGAAGCTAGAACTAAACCCCGGCATTTGTTGGTGGTTTTCTAAGGCAGCATTACTTTCTTTAATTCGCCACTGTGAGTCGTGGACTGTCTTCCAGACATTAAGGAAGCAAAAAGGGGCTTTTGAGTTGAAGTGTTTTAGAAAGATTTCAAGAATACCATGGACCAATAAGAAAGAAAAGATTACAAGATGACTGTAATCAATAGTCTCACTAGTATATGCTTCTCTAACAAGCATGTCCTAACAGTTAAATAGGTGTTTCCTTCAAAGTCAGAGCGCATCTGCCTAAGTGGCAAGGAACCAACAGTCATACATGTAAAACTGATGTGCACATAAAAGTCAAGTTCTGGAACAAGACTAAAGTTCGGAAGTGGATGAACAAACAGAACTTTCCGCTGGAGTTTACAGCTGGCTAGCACTAAGATTTCCTTCCTCCTATGACAACTCTTCTTATGTTGTGCATATTATTTTTAATTTTGACTATAATGGAAACAAGTTTGGAGACATTACACATCCCAAGCTTGGAAACACCTAATGCAGGCAATATGTGATTTCAGAAGAAAAAAATGGAAAAAATACATGAACTGGAAGGGGAAAAATTAGGCAACTTTGCAAGAAACAGATGAAAACTGTAGATATTTGATTGTCATAAGTTATAAAATGGGAAAAAAATTAATTGATTAACTATTACCACAACGCCCAACAACAAAATATGTGGGTAATGATTTGTAGGGAAAACGCAGCCCTCCAAAACCATATTTAAGATGTAAAATACCCCTGTGCAGTTATTTAATTTACTTCCTTTTTTCCCCTAGGCTGAACTTCAACATCAATATTTGTTTACAATCACTAGCAGTAAGATGGGGATTTTTTACTTCAGTGTTTAGCTGTACTGAAATTATCATCACCATCATGTGCCGTGCTGGTAAGCGTAGGCACTCATGTGTGGCCATCTCACACAATCACCAGAATCACGGATCAGTTCAATATTTTTGTCTCGCCCCATCCATCTTGCCAGGCCATCCGGGTATTTATCTCTTTGCCTTCCTCTGGCTCTCCTTCCATCAGTCTTGCCCGTTGTTACCATGTTCTAGAGTCCATTCCTTCTCACAACATGTCCCAAAACATTGGCTGTCTACGTCTATTTGTTCTAATAAGTTTACAACTTTCATCTGTACGTCAACTTAACTGAAAACTTTACAGATAAAACAGATGTGCAAGCTGAGGGGCCTAATGCACACCACAAGATAAAAACTTTCATAATGACAAAAGCAATAAAGATACTGACATTTTTAAAATTACTAGTTGTATTTTGCTACTATAAGAATTTTGCCTAAATATGGTCCCAACAACCACATACACAAACAATGTGTGGAACATACCATTTCATCAGCCATTATGCAGCCGTAGTTGTTTTCTATCTGGTTTCCAGTAACACAGTCATACATAAACTTTACTCCCTGTTTATAGACAAAAATTCATTATTAGTCCATCAGTGACAGTCATAAACTTTACTCCCTGTTTGTAGACGAACATTCATTATTAGTCCATCATTGACAGTCATACATAAACTTTACTCCCTGTTTGTAGACGAACATTCATTATTAGTCCATCATTGACAGTCATACATAAACTTTACTCCCTGTTTGTAGACGAACATTCATTATTAGTCCATCAGTGACAGTCATACATAAATTTTACTCCCTGTTCGTAGACGAACATTCATTATTAGTCCATCAGTGACAGTCATACATAAACTTTACTCCCTGTTTGTAGACGAACATTCATTATTAGTCCATCATTGACAGTCATACATAAACTTTACTCCCTTTTTGTAGACAAACATTTATTATTAGTCCATTGACAGTCATACATAAACTTTACTCAGTGTAAACTAATGCCAAACACCAGTGACATAGTCATACAATGACATAGTCATACAGTGACATAGTCATACATTGACATAGTCATACAGTGACATAGTCATACAGTGACATAGTCATACAGTGACATAGTCATACATTGACATAGTCATACAGTGACATAGTCATACAGTGACATAGTCATACAGTGACATAGTCATACAGTGACATAGTCATACATTGACATAGTCATACAGTGACATAGTCATACAATGACATAGTCATACAGTGACATAGTCATACATTGACATAGTCATACAATGACATAGTCATACAATGACATAGTCATACAATGACATAGTCATACAATGACATAGTCATACACTGACATAGTCACACAATGACACACTCAGGAGGAGTGGCTGGTCAAGAGATTAAGAGTACTGGGCTCTTATAGTGAAGATTCAGGTTTCTTCTTCTTCTTCTTCACGTTTACTGCTGTAAACTCCAGCAGAAAGTTCTGGTTGTTCGCCCCCTCCTAGACTTTGGTACTGTTCTTGTCGTCTGCACTTGTCATGAGGCCCTAAATCCTCAGGCGTTGGACCCCTCCCCTGTTCTAAACAATCGTAAACATCGGCAGTATAGACAGTGACAGCCACAGCTGTCTGCACTGTTGGGGTTTTTGCGAATTCTCCACTGTGTCTTATTTTAAACAAGTTCTGAGTTTTATCCACACAGATTATATGGTTTAGCCACATCACACAGATTATATGGTTTAGCCACATCACACAGATTATATGGTTTAGCCATAATCTGACAATATATTTGTAATTTCAAAGACATATGCCCATACACACAGACTGTTCACGTTTATTTTACATCAGCCAGTTAATGACCACGCTGACCCAAAAGAGCGATAAGAAGGGGCTGGGTATTTCATCAATGAACCTGTTTTATGGCAAACAATAAATAGTCCGTTTTACTAGTGCCTTTTATCACCATGAGTTACCCTGCAATGACCGTCAAGCCTGTCATTGAGTAGATCCAAATTTGACAGCATTTTTTTCGGATTTGGTCTCCGTAACATTTGAATGTCCCATCTACCTACCAGACAGCAGGTTTGTGTCTCTTTCTGTCAGGTTCCGCCCTGACTTTTCTGACAAGGAAGACCATAAGTCGCAAGGCTACCGGCAGCATAGCTCCGCTATACTTCATCACATATCTAGAGAGGGGCAATGTATAAATTTCAGACTTAGGACTAACATATGTTCAAATCTTTCAGTGTCAGAAACACAGAGATGTGTTCCTGCCACTTGGCACCAGAAAATGCTGAGCATGTACTCTGAGACTGTCAACTGTATGCTGCCAACAGTGACCCAGTCTGGCCTGTTCCAACCTCAGGGAAGACAAAGCTGCATGGTACAGGTCGAGATATGGACTGCACCAGAGATTTCATAAAGGCTACTGGCTTCCTTATATGAATTTTCTGACAGAAGGATCGAAGATGAAAAAGATATGAAAGATATTAGGCTATACTCACCTCTCTCTGGTGAGGTCGTAGTACCCGGGTTAAAACTGGGTCAACGACAACGTGAACAGGTACTTGCTCCCTGAAACCACAAGTGAATAAAACATTACATCAGTAGTTATCTTTTTCTTCTTGTCTTCGGTTTCTGATTTACACCCACAGGCAAGTTCTTGTGATAAACTTGACAGTATTTAGGAGTTCCCTTTTAGTTCCATACAACCTTGCGTGCAGTGTTGACCCAGTACTTCCTTCTTAATGAGTTGTACAAGAGACATTCTTGCAGGATAGTCTGTGCACATATCAGTCACGGGCACAATGGTAAACTACTTAGACGAAGCCTGTACACATGCTTGTTAAGTCCTGTCCTGAGGTGCAGAATAATGACCTGCCCACACCAGATTCTGTTCACTTCTGATAGACAAGATGGCTCTTTTCTTCTCAAAGTAGGTTACTGCATTCTCTTCCTGTTCACATTCTACCCCTTTCTTAGCAAGTTTAAATGCATTTTCGCGTCCTGTTATACCACAATGGGATGGCGCCCACTGGAGTATAGTACGCTTTTGGGCATCCTCCTCGCTAAGTTCAGATCTCAAGTGAAGGATTACCACTCTTGAGGGCTTGGAGCACCAACAGTGAATCTGTGAAGATGACCACTTGGTGGCAGTTGCAACCTGTGTTGTGTAAAATTTCGGCAGCCTGCTCTAGTGCTAGGATCTCTGCTGTGTAGTTTGAACAGAATTTACCAGTGGGTATATATTTTGTGTGGTGGTGGTTGTCTATGTATGTGATAAAGATGTCAGCACCCCCAGTTTTAACCCAATGGTTGTTGATTCATCTCTGTAAACATGTATCCACAACTGTTCGGGATGGTTTTCCTGGATCATGCTGAGAGCAGCTGATCCTTTTTAAAGGTCCCTGGACTAATCTCCGGCTGTGAGTAGATTGACTGAAGTCATTATCTGTAATCTGTTTTGTGTCGCTGAGCTGCTCCCAAGGTACTGTCTTTTAAGTCTTTTCCCCAAATGGACAAAGCTGCTACAATGCTTCAGTGCCAGATCACCTAGTCTTGCATGGTTCCCCATAGCTTGCTCTGCACACTTTGCTCTTGAGGCCAGGTGTCTTTTCGAAGTTGCAGGTAGAGTGGGCAGGTCTGCAGAATGTGCTGAGGTGTTTGGGGTCCTGTTTGACAGGCACACTGCGGGGACTGTACAATCTGTATTTTATGCATGTGGTAGTTGAGCCTGCAGTGTCCTGTTCGTAGACGAAAAATTGTTGTATGTTGCTTTCTGTTGAGTCTGCTGATGAGGTCTTGTGGATGTTTACTGTTAGTTTTTTCTCTCCACAATCCCTTGTATTTTCCTTTGATAAGTGTTCTGATTTCTGGTAATGACAATGAATGGGCTTGTTGTTTATCTTTGTTCCATTTTTTGCAAGTCTGTCTGCTAACTCATTTCCTGGTATGCCGCAGTGAGCCGGGATCCACTGGAGAACGATTTGATTGTTTTCTGTGAGTTTGTTTAGCTGACGGGTCAGTTCTCTTTCCATGTTGTCTCGTGGATCCCTATGAGTCCCCTGGAGGACTGACATGCAGTCACAAAGGAAAAAATTTTTTTGCCGTTTTTAATTTTTCTTTCCTCAAGCACTTTGGCTGAATCAATAATTGCTTGCTGTTCTGCTCTAAAGTTTGTTGAGAGTCTTCCGGAGGCACATGATGTTTCTACTGTGGTCCCGTCTTGCAGCATGATGACCGATCTAGCTCCTCCATTTTTGTCTACTCCCTCCAATGATCCATCAGTAAATAAAACATTACAACAGTCGGCAAAGGAGCTGCCATGGTGTAGTGGCTAGATGATAGCCTGCGGAACCGAAGGTTCCAAGTTCAGGCCTTGACGTAGCAGGACTTTTATTTTTTTAAATGACCCTGGCTCCCAGGTCGACTCAGCCTTAAATGGGTAGCAGGTAAAGTCCTGGGAAGTAAAGGCGGCCGGCGTGGTGTTGACCACATCACCCACCAAGTGCCGATTGGTCTATAAAATATAGGTCTAACCCTATATGCCCAATATGCCTGAAGGTGAGGACAAGCATCTTTTACTTTACTTTTTTGTTTTATAGTCGGCAAACAAAATGGATAACTTGTCTGTTGTCACAAGTGATCCAAACATTACATCAATAAAAACAACACAATAAAACATTTCCGATAAGGCAGACATCTAAAAAAAAAAAACATGGCAATGAAAGACAGTGATAAATGAAACATCATGTGTATAGTTGTGTGAATTTGAAGCTGAGCATGAATTTGACACATTTTGTGGACACGGAGCATCTGTGGACATGCCCCATGTGCTATGACCTTGATTCTTGGATCATTGTTTGTAGTATAGAGAGAAAAAAAACTGAAATATTTCAAACGGAAGACACAAAATATTTCCGCCTTCAACCAGAACCATTACTTTTCCTACAACCTACAAATCACACAATAAAACAAAAGACATGAGCAGTACTCATGCACCCATATCACTTCCCACGAATAGATAAATATACTTCTCACAACAATAAACAACAATAAGAAAAATGGACGCAACATAGCTTTGTCATAATTCTGACATTCAAGTTAAAATCTGTATAATTTAATGAGTGAAAGTGTTCAAACTGCACAATAGAATACCTTGACGTTCAAGCAATCAACTGAGAGTTCTTTCGGGTCTGGGTCATTTATAGTTTTTAGATGTATGGCATTCCCCATGAACTAATAAAAACATGCATATGGATAACTTTTTTGTTGTTGAAAAAGTATAATAATAACAAAAATAAAAAAAGAACTGCACTTACGCATCCATTTTCATTTGATCATGAGCAGACAGCTCAGGCGGACAGTACAACACTAGAGCGCCTTCATCATAGGGACTATGTAGAGGCTGTCTTGCTCCCTGTCGACGAACTCCAAGAACTCTGCCCAAACCACTGCCTGCCGTTGACATGACAGAGAATTTTAATGATTAAAGTATCTAGCCTCTAATGTATCTATAATGCGCATCATATTGGGAAATATGGTTTCAAATGAACAGAATTATGTGGAATTATTATAAGAAAATAAAGTACACAGGCACCCACACATCAGATAATGAGAAGGGCTACTGGTACTTAATGTAGCCAAATAGAACCGAACTGTCAGAAAATCATAATGAACGCTGGTTTGTCTGTAAAAAAGGGTGCCAGAAAGAAGCGACAAAATTTAAAGAACAAAACATAAAACTGAGATTTGCGCCTGAAATTGACAAATGATATAGCAGCTGCACCAAAGATTCTAAGTCCTACAATCGCTGAGCTTGCTAGTTGTAGCCCAGCCAAAAATAATTATATTTGGATTAGCCAATAAATAAGCTATATAAAAAAAAAACCTGGCAGGATGGAAAAGTTAAAACATTTAAGGTAAACTTTTTAAAAACTTTTTCTTCTGCATGACGTGTTTCAACTTAAGTAATTATCTTTTGAGGACCAGAAAGTGACTTGACAGGAACTCCAGTCGGAGAGTACAGCTAACACAAATGGCTGGTTTGCCGAAGGCGTGAAGATGGTCCATACTGGCTAGCTGTCCTAATGCCAGTCCACTGCCTGGTCAAGTATGTAGAGTATGTAAACAAAGAATGTGATCAATAAGGCTCGCAGCCTGTTGTGCGTCCAGAAGCTAGTGAACCTAAGTCAGTCACATGCCCTCTTCTTCTTCGTGTTCACAGGCTGTAAACTTCGGCAGAAAAGTTCTAGCTGTTCGTCCACTTTTGGATGTAGTCTTGTTCTAGAACAACTTGTGATTCATTCACATTCCCAATTTTGAGTTATTTTAAGCCTCACTCCGGCCGATACCGGGGGTCCTAATATAACCCAACCTATGGGTTTCTGGGACTTGTGCGCGGGGGATCCTCATCTGAATGGTGGCACTTTGTGTCACCGGATGTTGGTCACTGGTTGTACCGTCCTGGTGGGGTTGAACAGCATACATACATAAATTTTAGAACTTAAACTTTGCGAGCACATAAGTTTCTAAAGATCTGACTTATTTGTATGCAGACTGTTGGGTCCTGGCTTCTCAGACAGTTACACTCCAACTTCGAAGGACATACCCTTAATTAGTTTACGTTTGCAATATGCTTGTTGGAAAAAAAAAAGGGGGGGGGGGAATTATTCCTGTTTACTATGGTGACCTTCTTCTTTGTTCACAGGCTGCAAGGTCTTGCGAAAAGTCCTGATTGTTCATCCATTTGGAATTTGGCTTTGTGCCAGAGCCTGGGTTTTGCGTGTACATCCGTTTTACTGGCTTATTTATGTGCAGTTGGTTGTTCCTTGTCGCTCAAGAAGATGCACTCTGACTTCGAAAGAAACTCCCAATTAGTTGATTCTTATGACACGCAAGCTTGGGAGGCAGTGGGTCCATTCTTGTTTCCCCCAAAATGGAGCCCTGGAACCCACACAGCAACAATAACCTTACATCACTAGGCAAAACTCTTTGACGGCCCAACTCGACTTTTACGCGGTCCATATGTTTTTTCTCCTTAAAATATCACAAAAAAATTGTATTACACCAGTTTGGCAGTTTTTTCAAGGTCAATGGGACAAAAGGGTTCATAATAATTAAAATGTCTATGAATTGTAATACGTTCTTAGTGTTCTAACTATAATTGTGTATTGCAGTTCAGTATAAATGTTCTTCACAAAAGTGGAGTTACCTTCATAGTTTGGTAGAGGAACCTTGAACGGCTTGGACAATATTTTCCTGATGAATTCCTCCTGTAGATCAAAAGAGAGTGAACAATAATTAACACTGTGTTTTTCAAATCAAGAGAAAACCCCCTTCTAGAAACAATTCAAGGAGCAAGAAGCATAAAGAAAACTCATGATTACACGTCATTACTGTAACTGCCTCACAGAGCATGCTGAGAAAGGTGGAGACAGGTATGCTCTGTGCAGAGTGGCAAGCATCGCTTCAGGTCCCAGATAGCTAGTCTTTTTGACATTTTCTTCAGTAAATGCCAGTGTGGTGGGGAATGAACAGCTAGACTGACTGGCTGGTTCTGCACCACCTGAGCGGGTGATGTGGTCAACATCACACCAGCCACCTTTACTTTACCTGGTACCCATGTAAGGCTGGGTCCATCTGGTACCCATGTAAGGCTGGGTCCATCTGGTACCCATGTAAGGCTGGGTCCACCTGGTACCCATGTAAGGCTGGGTCCACCTAGTACCCATGTAAGGCTGGGTTGACCTAGTACCCATGTAAGGCTGGGTCCACCTGGTACCCATGTAAGGCTGGGTCCACCTGGTACCCATGTAAGGCTAGGTCCACCTGGTACCCATGTAAGGCTGGGTCCACCTGGTACCCATGTAAGGCTGGGTCCACCTAGTACCCATGTAAGGCTGGGTCGACCTGGTACCCATGTAAGTCTGGGTCGACCTGGTACCCATGTAAGGCTGGGTCCACCTGGTACCCATGTAAGGCTGGGTCCACCTGGTACCCATGTAAGGCTGGGTCCACCTGGTACCCATGTAAGGCTGGGTCCACCTGGTACCCATGTAAGGCTGGGTCGACCTGGTACCCATGTAAGGCTGGGTCCACCTGGTACCTACGTAAGGCTGGGTCCACCTGGTACCCACGTAAGGCTGGGTCCACCTGGGAGCCAAGGTCATTTTTTAAGAAAAGAAAAAGGTCTGGCTGCTCTCAAATTTAGACCCATGACCTTTAGATCTGCAGGCGAGCATCTAGCCCCTACACCACAGCGGCTCCCATCCTTCTCACAAACATTATTTCAAATGTTATTCTAGACTTGTGCTTTAACAGAATCCTTCATTATCTGAATGTTTTGTGAGTAATGCTAATGCTGTGTTGGCTGACTTAAAAAATTGTCATCTTTCGGTGTGTTGATTCGGTTACAGAAGTTATTACTGTGTGGTATTCACAGCCCCATATTTATGAAGAAGAGATAAGAACAGACCCACTGCCCCTCAACAAACATGTCATAAGAGGCTATAATTAAGCATCACCGAGAACAAATATGTCAGGTTTAAAGGGGCTGATACTGCAGTGTAGTTGTAAACCAGAACATAACAGGTCAGTTGCCGTTTTAACAGCAAACAGAAAAAAAAAAAAAGAACAAAGGTAGAATTCAGGTGGGTAAAAGACTCCTGAACATGTCCTGCAAGACTGTCCTCTCTTGGCTGAGCAACAGTTGGCAACACCCAGTAGAACTGACAACTAAGCTTTGGAGAAACCTAAGAGACCTTGAAAAGGCATCCCAGTTTATGGCCCACAGTGGATTATGCGTATGACCAGAGATCGCTAAAGAAGAAGGTGGGGAAAAAGTGGGTGTGCCATGCTGCATATTTCTTTTTAAATTAAAAAAGGGCATAGCCACACAAAAATTTGGAATTCAATGCACTATTTGGCAACCATCAGTCCCTGAAGACCATGGAGCTATGCCAACGGTTTTGGGGACAGTATCTGCTATGAATGTAAAGTCCAGTGTGAGAGTGGCACTCTGCTATATTGTCCACACAAAAAACATTGATACTCTTGTCATTATGAGGCTGGTTTTCAATCAGACATCTCCTCTCTATTGCTGCATTTGGTTTCTTTCAAACTGCGGCAGTCTGTCTTTCAGTGTCTGCCCTCAAAGGAGACAGTCTGTAGCTGAACTCTACCAAGTGTCTATGTCAATGTTGATATCTTTCAGGCCACGGTTGCATATGTTCTTATAGCACAGCACTGGCTTTCCTGCAGATCTTATCCCTGTTACCAGTTGACAACTAGAGTAAGAAAAAGAAGCTATACCTACTCATGGGGGTTCATATCGAAGGCGAATGGACGTCCCTTGGTGCAACAATGTCTGGCATATATCATAAAGTCTAGTTTGAGAATGGAGGTGGAGGCAGTCACTGCTGCCTTCCGTTGGCTTGAGAATCAGCTGTACACACATTCCGTCATTGTAACTGACTCACAGAGCATGTTGAGAAAGGTAGAGACAGGCATGCTCCGTGCAGAGTGGCAAGCATCACTTCAAAGGTCCCAGGTAGTTAGCATCCTTTGGATATTTTCTCCAGGTCATGCTGGTGTGTTGGAAAATGAGCAAGCAGATAGACTGGCCGGTTCTGCACCACTTGGTGGTGAACTGATGTATGACAAGCTGGATGTTGTGAGGGCCCTTTGGGAGCGAGTGAACAGTGCCGAGGCACAGATAGATCATTACAGTCTGAGGAGAATGGCACTGCGAGGAGTTACAAGGGAATCTGGCCGACGCTCGACACTTAGGGGAAAGGCGAGACAGATATACAATCAGACATTTACTGGTACCATCAGAATTTTAACTCTTCACTTGCTGCTGAAGATGGGAACAGAGCGCTTATGTGGGTGTCCCGAGTGCCTGTGATGTAGATTTTTAATTTAACATTCAACCTACTCATGACTGTTATTACTTACATGGCTCAATGATACACTGTCATCTGTAGAGCCAACTTGCGCCCTAACATCTGTCAGTGGTTGGCGATACGGTGATAAATGTTCCAGATGGTTGAATGGTGCAGTGAGCTTTTGACGTTTCGATTTTATCTATATAAACAAAGTTTTTGTTGGATTAGCAACAATAGTCACATCTATACACACACAAAACAGTTTTCTTGGATTAGTAACAAAAACCAATATTAGAAATAGTTTTTCTTAAATTAGCAACAGCAGGAATACCTAGATATACCAGATTTCTTGGATTATTAACAACAGCCATATTAGAAATAGTTTTTCTTAAAATAGCAACAGCAGGAATACCTAGAAATAAAATATTTCTTGGATTAGTAACAACAATAAATATTAGAAATAGTTTTTCTTAAATTAGCAACAGTAGGAATACCTAGATTTAGCAATTTCTTGGATTAATAACAACAACCAATATTAGAAATAGCTTTTTCTTGAATTACCAACAGCAGAAATACCTAGAAATCACAGATTTCTTCGATTAGTAACAATAACCAAATTTTTAAAAAACGATTTTTAAATTTTGATTAGCAGCAGTGGTTTTTCTTGAATTACCAAAAATAGTCAAATCTATAAACAATTTATGCTGAATTTGAACAAAGAAGACACAATCAATACACAGAGTGTAACAACTGATTAAAATAAAGCAAAAAAATGATCCCTTCCAAATGAAACCCAAAATGGACTTCATTCAAAAAACTGTCTGTTTTACTGCAATGTGTGGGTTCTGGGATCCTATTATAGGAAAAACAAGAATACCACTGTCGACCCAAAAGCATGTCGTAAGAGTCGACTAATTGGGAGCTTCCTTTGAAGTCAGAGTGCATCTGCCTGAGAGGCAAGGAACCAACAGTCTGCACACAAATGTGTCAGATCTGTTAAACAGATGCACATGCAACACTCAGGTTCTGGAACAGGACTACAGTCCAGAAGTGGACGAACAACCAGAACTTTTCACCAGAGTTTACAGCTGGTGAACGCAAAGAAGAAAGAAGAAAAATAAGACTGCAATGCTGTTTCTTGTCTCAGTGCATGTAGTCTACCAGGCACATTGCCAGATACTTCAACAAAGCAAGCTTGAACACCAAACAAATGTCAAGGACACTAAACTGCTGACAATAGAGTTTATTGCTCCAATGATGCTTTTCTCAGTCAATGAGCCAGAGGTCTGATGTCTAGAGTAACAGGCTACTATTCATAAATCATCCAGTATACATTCATCACCTGACCAGGGTTATCAATTAAAGCACTTCCACCCATTGACACTCGAGGTATTGCAAGATTGCAATCAAAACCACTCAAACTCATAGCAGACGATTTTCATCCATTCCAGTGTGTAAGGGGATACCAGCATAGCCATATTTTTGGAGGGAAACAGGTCGGCATCTTGATCATACATTAATTTACTTCATGGATACATTCAGTTTCACACTCTCCAAGCACCATAGGACCGGATTGTCAGAGGACTGAAAGCAAGACTGAGCTTTCTTACTAGCTTCAAGTTTAAATAATCTATTCTACTTCTTGTGCACTCAAAACCTCCACTTACAATTTCATGATTTCCTTGACTGGCACACTTTGGCTAAACTGTTTTTTTTTTAGTTAGTATCAGTTACTCGATCTGTTCACACATACATTATAATTAGTAATCGATACCATCTATCTGAATTCTCACACACAATTTATGTTTAGTAGTTGTCCTCATTTTCAAATTTACCAGCAGTGAGTAAATGACTCCTTACATTCACCAGTGTAAACGTAAGGTGAAGACCATGTCCTTTTGTCTGCATAATTCTTGACCAAACAGGTTTATAGTGGTTGCTTCCAAAAATCTCAGCAGTAATCTTTTCGGAACTCAGTGACTTTTTTAAGCGTGTAATTTCCTGAATTTTCACTTTACCTATTGTTTCAATTCAAAATTTTGTGAATTTTAAATAATAATATAAAGTCAAATCATTGGTTATTCTGTAGGCCTAACTGTGAATACCCTGAGATTAATAAATTTCAACTGAATGTCTTTAATGTAATTTCAAGTAGTTTGTCTCACAATTATTTGCTTCATTTTAATCAATTGTTACTATAATATACTATATATGACCAAATACAGTAAAATATGCCAGGCAAAAAATTGTGCAATCTATTGTTTGTGTCTTCTTTGTTCAAATTCACAATGGGTAAACACTACATTAATTCATACTGAACTAACATGAAATGGCAAATCCAGAAACAAAGCTTTTCTTGGATTACCAGCGACAGCCAACCTGTAACTGGATACACATATTATGTACAAAATTATGCCAGAGAAATAATTAAGCAGTTGATGTTCAATTTTTCTACACACACAATTCTTGTGCCGTCTCCACTTTAAAGGTTTGGCTGCAGTGTACTCACTGCTGTTTTTTGGAAATATTACGTAGTGGGGTCTTAATATTTTCCACTAGGCAGCATTTACTCCTTCCCAAAATAAGGTACAAGAGCTTTACTGATTTGAGAATCAACTTCATAGCATAACAGGCATACCCACAGGTGCTCTGTCTCCAGCAGTAAATGTCTTAAGACAGTGTTTCCCAAACTTGTCTTAGTCACGGCGCCTTTTTAAAAAAAATTCTAATTTTCCACGGCGCCCTAACTTATGTAAGAGAAAAAATAAAACTTGTGTATCTTCGGCCCCCTGTGAAACAATGAGTACATTCTAGAAAACAAGAGTTTATCAGCAATAAAAAACAAATGAAGGCAGCAAACTTAAACATGTACAAGGGAAAACAAGTTGAATGAAGTCAAAAGTGGAGAAGTACTTGACCAGGTTTCCGACAGATCCATAAAGAAAAGGAGCAGAAACCAAGAAATAAGACGGTGGCCCAGTTCCAGTTTCTCCCTCCATGATGCTACCTGAAGTTCTAGAACCCTGAGATGATAAAATCTCAATCTAGATTGGCTGACTGACCCCAAATACCTCGTCCAACCTCTAAAGAGGCCACAACTGGGACACAGGCAACAGTCAGATCAACCTGATGTGACTTGCAGTCCTGTGCAGATAATGATTGAAGAAAATAAAGACAGAATACATAGCTGCTGGTTTATGGGAGTGTGCAGCAGTGTTGCCACTTTTCTTTGACCAAAAATATCTAAAAATATCTAAATTTGTGTGGAAAACATCTAGAAAAAACATCAAAATGGAACGAGTCAAAATTACATAGCAATTGATAAGACTTACCCTATAGAATCGTGCCCTCATCTTCACTGAAGTCTGCCTTACAAGATCCACAGGATAAACTTAGCTTGTATGATGAAGTTGAAGCTTCAGATCCAAAATGACTGGTATGTTTTAGCTGTTCCAATTTCTTTTAAAACCCAATCAGGGAGCTGATAAGTTGAACAGCCTTTTCCTTCTCTTATCAGGCACAATTTCATTGTCAAGATAGCATTTAAGAGGTCAAATTTTATCCTGTTTCTTAGGTTAGATTTGATAAATTAACTCCAAATGAAAAACTTCTAGAAAAACATCTACCATCTAAACGTTAAAAACGCCATCTAAATGCAAGGGGAAACATCTAAATTTGGATGTAAAACATCCAAAGTGGCAACACTGGTGTGCAGGTGCAATCAAGTCATCAAAATAATCCTTCTGGACATGACTGAAAAAGAACTCCATTTCCACAGGAACTTCTTTTCTTTTGGAGTCTATCAACACTGCCTAGTACTTACTCTGTGATCGTCCAATTCTGTCTTGCCAACTTGTCTTTTCTCCCCAACAAGTTCCCGCTGACTTGGGGCCTGACTTCTCCTCTGTTTGAAAACAGAAAAAGAACAGATTAGCTATTTCTGTTACCTGTCCTAATATTGACATTAATCTTCATTATCCTGTTTGATTCTACAATCTGGTGCTTGGAAATGTTAAGCCCGTGCTCCAATGCTGTAAATCTTATTTGTCAAACCTCAGTTAAGACAGAGCTGTATGGTACACAGGAAGATTCAGACTGTACTATAGCTTTCATCAAGGATCAAGGACCGACGGATCGAAGAAGATTCTACAATTCAAGTTTCATTTAAATTTAACTGTTCGCTTTATAACATTTAAAAAAAAAAAATTGTTTTCAAAATTTTGTTACAAAGAAACAGATTGTTATAATGCTCTGAAACTCTGCTTAAGAAATTAAGAAACTAGAGGAGCAAAAAAAATTTGCAGCCTTGGTCAAGTTTTATAAAAATCTGGGGGGCTTGAAGCCATTGACCATCGAACAGACAGGCAAGCCTGCTGGCTACTGCATCATCGAGGCCCTAAAGTCACTAAAAAGGATTTTTCATACTTAAAGTCATTATTTTACAAAAAAGGATAATTTTTAATGAAGAAAAGTAATCATGAAATACGATGAGGCCGAGAAAACAGGGGTTTTGTTGACACAACCTCAGACAGCAGTGACATCATCAATTAAACAGTTGATTGGTTTTTTTGTTTACTCTAAATAACTCAATTTTTGTTAAAATATAAGGTTCTCCTTTCAACTACGGCCATATATTGGGGGCGTACGCCAGAGTTGTCTCCTGGCCGCATTGCAATTACGGAATGGATAAGGAACGAATCTCACAACAAAGTGAGGTCGACATGGCTGGTAGACCACGGGCTGCGACTCAAATTAGCGACCGCGTTCTTGCGACGCAAGACTTAGTGGCCGACCCTAACTCCTAACCCTATGATGACAGCAGTGCACTGCACGCTGTCTATCGCTCACGCTGTCTATCGCCAATACACACTAATACCTCATTTGTTTCGTTCCCTCTTTTCCACTCCGTAATTGCAATGCGGCCAGGGGACTAAACTCCGGCGTACTCCCTCAATATGTGGCCGTAGTTGCAAGGAGAGCCAAATATAAACATGCCCATCATGTCTAGATACTATGCAGTTGAGGCCAATACCAAAGCTATCATACAGGTGTACTGGGCACAGTCCAATGACATCATTTTAACCACAACCGGTAAATGGCTTTCACTCAAAGGATAAAGGCAAATATCCAAACAACAGACTCAAAAAGAGAGGAGACAGAATATACAGTGATATAAGCAGTAGGGTGTCTCCTCTTTCTCCTTCACGATCACTGGCTGTAAACTCCGGCGGAAAGTTCTGGTTATTCATTTACCTCTGAACTTTAGCCTTGTTCCAGAACCTGAATGTCGCATGCACATCTGTTCAACAAATCTGGCTTATCTGTGTGCAGACTGTTAGTTCCTTGCCTCTCAGGCAGATGCCCTCTGACTTCAAAGGAAGCTCCCAATTAATCAACTTTTACGAAATGATTTTGGGTAGGCAGTGGGTCTTTTCTCTCCCCCACAATTTGCTCGGAATCCACCCGTGGAAATGTGCATGTGTGAGGAAGATGTCAAAGAAATCCTGGACATGACTAAACAAGGCAGACCCATGAACAAGGCAGACCCATGAACAAGGCAGAAGCAGACCCATGAACAAGGCAGACCCATGAACAAGGCAGACCCATGAACAATGCAGAAGCAGACCCATGAAAAAGGCAGACCCATGAAGAAGGCAGACACATGAACAAGGCAGACCCATGAACAAGGCAGACCCATGAAGAAGGCAGACACATGAACAAGGCAGACCCATGAACAAGGCAGAAGCAGACCCAAAACAACGTGGACAAAAATGTTCACAGTTGAATTAAGAATTGACATAACACTCAGGGCACTCTTATAAGCGCTCCATCCCCATCTTCAGCAGCAAGTGAAGAGTTCCAATTCCATTCTTAAACTACACGTTGTGATATCATATTCCCGGCTTTCCTGCATTAAACGATGTCCTTTCGCTATGAACCCTCGTGCATTTCGTCAGCCTCTCAACACACAGCCATCTGTATAGACATAGATAATCACACCACTTGGGCGGAACTTGTGTGGGCTCAAGATCAGATTATATAGCCAGGGACGTCATCGTTTGGCCAACCCTGGTCTATGGTCATAATGTATTAATGGTCAAGGTAAATTGAAGAAAGAGATCAGAACCGTCAGAACACACACTTGACATTTGAAGTGGAAAAGAAGAAAAGGAAAACGGGGCAATTTTTACCGTATCCCGGATCCGCGATAGACACAATCACAACATTCATTACACATCAACAAGTCACAAATAACCTTGGCATAAAAAATATTGCTTAGTAAAGTGATACACAGTTATCAGCAATCATTGTTATTACCATGGTGAAGTATATAACATAAACATTGCTGCTGTCGTCTCTGTGAACATCCAGAGAACTAGTGTAGAACCAGCGGTTACTGGGAGTCGTTCATTGAATTTAGTCTGCCACTTTTGTAAACAAGCGCCATATACCAGGTGAAAATACTTCCGGGTTACTGTGGTTATTGGCCAGGATAATGTATTTTTAAACTTTACTGTAACCGTCTAGTTCCAACCCGCATGCACATTTGACATCAGGCTAAGTGTAACCGGGACACGCCTTGTGCAGCATCAGAATGCTCGCCAATGGATCCAAAGGTCGTGCGTTCAAACCCATTAGAAATAATTTAACTTGGCTCCCAGGTCGACGCAGACTTTAAAATGGGAACCTTGTCTGGGAAGTAAAGGCGGTCGGGTGATGCTGACCACATCACCCACAGAGTGCTGATTGGTCTATAAAGACAGATCTAACCGCAGCCGAAAATGCGTAACTCTAGTCGGCTGTGATATAGCCCTATATGCCCTAAATGTCTGAAGGAGTGAAAAGGGGTCCTTTACTTTTACTAATGGAAACCGTAAAATGCCTCTATGTTTTATGCAGCTGACCAGGGCGTTTAAAATTTGCTACGCTTAAATTCGCATCCAACAAGCACCTTTCTGAGTTACTGGATGTCACGTTTTCACACTGAAATCCTGGGGGGGGGGGGGGGGGGTGATTAGTGACACCCACAATGTTACGTATCTCTCCTTCAACTTGTTCTTCCTCTTCTTCTCCGGTATTCCAAGCACGTTAGATTTACTGCTGTAGATATTACCCGCCAATGATGTCTGCGGCTGATACAATCAGGAATCCAGATTTCTACTAATATTAAGTCGTCATATGGACACCGGAAGGAAAAAGAAAACAGGGAAGACCAAGAGAGATCCTGCGTAAAACTATCATCATGGAAAGCTCAGCCATAAGCCTAGTGAACATCCGAGACCTAAGACAGGAGAGAGAGAGAGAGAGAGAGGAGAGAGAGAGAGAGAGAGAGAGAGAGAGAGAGAGAGAGAGAAAGAGAGAATAGCCAGCAACCTCAGAAATAAAGGACAGACATACCAGCACCATAACCTAGGGCAAACTTCACTACAGTGACTATACAGGCCTGCCATATCAACGCGGAGCAAACATCAGAAGTGAAAGTAAGTACAGAGACTAGACAGGCCGACTACAACAGCGTAGGGCTTTGGTAAGGCACACATCAAAAGTGAACATCAGTGCAGAGACTAGAGACTAGACACATGATGGCCATCACAACCTGCGGCAAACATTCAAAATAAAAGGTAAAGGTAAAGTCGGGAGATGTGAACCAGCGTCATTGCACACGTTTATAAACCATAGGTGCTCTGCCACCAGTACGGATAGCTGATAAGAAACTGTCCGCCTGTGTAGCCATCCTCCGTAGCTGCAGGGACGTTCCTCCATTTACCCCAGAGTGTCAATTCTGGTAGCCATTGCATAGAGGCTGGGCGAACCCCGGGATTTGAAAGCCAGTCTCCTATCGACTGCGCTAACGCGGCCCCACAATCAAACATTAAAAATGAACGTCAACAAAAAGACGAGAGATGGAGCACCCAATAACATGACCAAAGTGCAATGATCAAAATTAATACTAAACCAAAGGTTGGTATCTTTTTTGCATTCACCGGCTGTAAACTCCAGCAGAAATTTCAGTTTGTTCATCCATTTCCGGACTTGGGTCTTGTTCCGGAACTTGACTTGTGCATTCATTCATTCTTCTGTTGAGCCATTATGTGTCATATATTGTTTGCAGTGTTTTCCTTCATTCCCTTCTTTCATGTGCAATCAGTTCAATATCATGATGAAGTCCACTCCAGCAGCTTTGGCCTCTCTCGTCAACATTCGTCTGTTTCTTTTGGGCGTCATTAATTCCTTTATTTCCTATTATAATGCCTGTTCGGTGATTCACTGCTGATTTCCTCCCAGAATGCGGTATTATGAAAGACACAAATGAAGTGGTTTTTTGGACACTAACAAAATGCCCTGTCCAATGTAGCGCTATCTTCTCTGTTTTACAACTGCTGCTACAAGTGGTTGCCCAGACGTTTCTCTTATTTCTTCATTCCTGTTGAATTCATGACATTTTATTGTCTTCATTTTCCTAAAACATTTATTCTTGATTTAACTTGTGTTCCATGTTTTTAGTGGCTCTCCAACTTTCACTTGCAGGTGTTCAAAGGGAAAGTAACATTAAAATTGAAAATATGTAACTCAGTTTTAAAACTATACAATTTAGAGTTTTATATTTTGTTCAAGATATTAAAAGCTGCTGATGGCTTTTACAGATCTGGGTTAGACTTTTAGTTCCTTGCTTCTCAGGCAGATGCACTTCGACTTTTAAAGGATACACCTCAAATAGTGCGTACATGATTACGTATTGTGACCAACTACTTACATCAACGACAAACTGCATTTCTGGTGGCGACTGTTGGCTTTGGCACCTCTAGCAACTGCTTTATGTATTTACTGCGTGGGCTATGTTTATGTTTATTCGATGGATCAACATCATGGCACATGGGTGTAACACACAAGAGTTCTATTTCTAACTGAAGCCTGAGTCTGAAAAAAAATCAGCGCGGTGCTCGAACTTTGTTGCACCGGCAAGGATCCTGAAATACTTTGGGTAGATTTTTAATTCCATATTTCACCTGGGTAGTACAGTTAGGCTATTCTGTTCAATTTCCAACAGCCAAGGGATTTTTTTTACGTGCGTAAGAATACACACGGGCGTCCGATCTTACTACCCAGAGTCCAGGGTGAAATTACTAGAAGTCAAGGTGAAAACAATCACAGCCTTCACCGGGGCTTGAACCTGAGACCTCCAGCACTCGAGGTGGACACCATACCTTGAGATCACTCATGCCCCACAGCATGAATTAAGAATAGACTAAAATGTGAAAGTAACCCTAGATGTTCGATATTTCCATAAACATGTCTAGTATGAGTGAGGATAATTGTGAGACCATAGACTTTGACCAGGTTTTAAGGCCAGCATGATTGGTTCAGGGGGTAACTATATTCATCGTCCTATTTAGGATGAAATTTTTCATTATTTGAAGCCCCACCCTGGCTCTTGCTGGGGTCCGCAATAAAGCCAGGTGATAAATATGGCCTTTTGGCTGAACGCCGTTTCTGGGACCTCTCCAAGGTGATCCTCATCCACATGGTGGCACATTGTGTCATCGGGTGTTTGTCGCTTGTGTGATGTCCTGGTGGGGTAGAAAGTCAGTCAGTTCAGGGGGTAAACAGAGTGTCCCTGTGAGACCAAGGAAGTGAATGTTTTCCATCGCCCAATAGGGCAGGTATGAGAAGCTTTGAGCCAACACTCAGTGAAAAAAAGGACGAGTCTATCCCGAAACAAGATGCCTTGAACTGATGTTAGGCATGAAAGGATGAGTTTCCTCTGACCGGACATAACAGCCGCAGCGAGGAGCAAGAATTTTTGGGTAGTGCCAGAAATTTGGCCCACCCTTGCACCCCTATCATAATTAGAGCTTAATCGACTGTTGGACTTTTGTATATCATTATCTACATGTTGTCAAGTAAGCACTAACAAAAGTTAATAAACAAAGACTGAACTGTACAAGAGAACTTTGTTTAGATTAAACTCTGTGTCATCCTCGCTACCATGGGAACGTAAGTCGTCTGTGATTGTTATTGCAGGTAGGTGCTTTGCAAAAAAAATAATTTAAAAATCACCAGTTTAACTAGCATCCATGAAGAGGGATCTTTAGGTTATAATTGTGACTAGGTTATGTGCACCATATAAAATGGCTTAGCCCTGCACACCACCAAGAGCCCTGAAAAGGATTCCTGCAGTGTTGATGCGATCAAAGGAGACCTACTGTTTGTTTGTTTGTTTTAGTATCCAAAAGCCATGAGTAGTTAACCCTTAGGCTCGGTATTGTGGATATCGCAACCTTTCGGCCTTGATTCCATTTTAAATACCGTAAATTTGGGAGAAATGTGGCTTTTCTGCCTACCCCCGGGAGTGAACCCGGACCACAAGGAGTTCGTCACCCGCTCACAGCGCAATCCGGTTTAGCCAACTATGCTAGAGAGACGGGTAAGGAGACCTACTAAAATAATGTCCTCGCCGATTGTCTACTGGCGAGATGGTGGGCGACCCAGTCGCCGAAATGTGATTGTTGTCCCATGACGGCTCACTAAATATGGACTAAGATGTCACCCCTAGCAACAACCTCTGACCTGGGAGCCAGGATCCCCAATACCTCCTCAGGTTCGAAATGTTTAACACTGGCAGCCCTTTTTTGAAATAGGACTTATTCTCTGTCTCATGACCAACAAGGTAGATTCTCCGTTCAACCCCCCCACCCCCCAAAGTTATAATTAAGGCACTCGTAATGGTTGCACCAGGCAGGTGTGACCTGCAGGCCTGTGTGGGTAAGGAACTGTGCCATGTGAAAAGTGTGGCCAGTTTGACTCCTTCACCTCAAACAATCATTTATATGAGGTACAATGGTCTTAACTTTCCCAGTTGAGTCAAGAACTGACATCCCAGCACTCGGGGCATTCCCATGCATGCTCCGTCCTCATCTTCAGCAACCAGCGCAGAGTTCCAGTAGTAATGGTACTGGTCATAATCTGGTTATATGTCCGCCTTGCTATTCCTCTGAGCCGGCCAGACACCATGGTTACACCCTGGTGCCACATTCAATTACTGTGTGTACATACACATGACACAAGGCAGCACATTCAAATTCACTGTGTGTACATACACATGACACCATATTTAATGACTTGTGTGTACACTAAATCACAGGGGATCACGTTTAATGACTTGTGTGTACATCACATCACACAGGGAATCAGGCTCTGTGACGTGTGTGTGTACATCACACAGGGTATCACGTTCAATGACTTTCCCACTTGCTGTTGACCATAATAATTCTCACAAATTAACAAAAGAAATCAATTTAAAAAATTTAAAAAACAACTAACACCTGTGGAAATCATAAGCAAAATATTTTATGTTTAAATTCATAAATGTGTAAATACATTCACTGACATGAGTTAACATTTATACAAAAACACAACAGATGCATGCTCAATTCTCCACCCTATACTAGATGTAATGTATCCCCCCCCCCCTCCCCCATAAATATTCAACACTAGCTCCCTTGTCTAGGGGGTCAAGATCACAGTACAGCTGAGTCAAACTTCTCTTCCAATCAACTATCACAAGTCTCCAAATGACAGTCCGCACTGGATTTGGGACAAACAAACATCCTGTCGACAGCATTGACTGAGAATCTCTTTGGAGGCTGAAGAAGCCTTTGGAGTTTCACCAAAGTTTATTTAACTTGACAACATACTGGCTTCTTCATGTGAAAAAACACTAACAGATGTGACTGAAGTCGGAACAGGAGTGTGTCAAGGGAGTATGTTATCCTACTGCCTGGATCATAAAAGATACAACTACCAGAAATTAAATTTAAGGTATTCTAGTCTTGGTAAAATCTTCCATTTTAATTATGAACCCAGGTAAAATCTATAGAAATGAAAAGTCCTGATGCAATCTCTTAAAGAAATAGAAGACTATAAAATCTTGTATAAAGATTAAGGCCCTGTTGAAATATCCTGTAGAGATTAAAGTCCTATTGAAATATCCTATGGAAATTAAAGTCCTATTAAAACCCTATTAAAATATCAAATGGAGATGAAAGTCCTGTTAAAATATCCTGTAGAGATTCAAGTCTATTTTACTGTTGTGTTCTGTGGGAGCATTTCTTGTCCACATCTTGTCTCTTAGTATTTTAGTCATAACTCTTTTGCCCTGGTAATGCTTAAAAAAACCCACCCTAAAAAAAAAACTGGATTATGACTGTCAGAATCCTCAAAAAAATCATTTCAAAACAAAAATTGTACACAGGTCACTGACACATCTTGCCAACATTTATTTATGTTCATTTTATATTGTTTCTCCTTCCCTGTGTGGGTAACGGGGCTCCGTTGTGGGGAAAACAAAAATAGATCCACTGCCTGCCCAAAAGTATGTTGTAAGAGTCAACACAATGGGAGCTTCCTTCAAAGTTGGAGTACATCGGCCTGAGAGGCAGGGAACCAACAGTCTGCATGCAAATGAGTCAGACCTGCAAAACGGGTGAGCATGCAACACTCAGTTTATGGAACAGGGTTAGAGTTCAGAAGTGGACGAACAAGAAGTTTCCGCCGGAGTTTAAAGCTGGTGAACTGGAAGAAGAATTGTTGTTTCTCCAAATATATAAAGAGAGATATATAAAGAGGAGCAATCAATATTAATAAACACAGTGAAGCATTAAAAGAAATACATTACCCGGAGCCTTAAAAAATATATCATTTAGGTAACCCAGGTCATGACCTTGTGCCCTCAAGAACTGAAACTTATTGGACAATATGACATAAACACCCCCCCCCCCCCCCCCCCACCCCCCCCCCCCCCAGGAAAAGTCAAAACACTTTCGGAAAATTAAAAACAGAAACAGAACAAAACAAAAAACACTGGATAACATCTTTAAAAAAAAAAAAAAAGGCCAGGGAATTGCATATGAGTCTTCAGGATATCAAACACTAGAAGTGACATGACCTGACGTCACAATGGACGGTGACTTCCTTTCCAAACAATAGCCATTGGTTTTTTTAAATCCAAAAAGCAAATTTCTTTTCAAATGTTTATTTATGTAGGCCTACAGTTTATTTACATCATCATGATCATTATCAGGTAGCAGGTCCTTTGCAGAATGTCGCTCTCATCATGGTTTCCCTGAAAGAAACTCGGTCTCTCGCCAGCTCTCCTGCCTAATGTACTACCATACACAAGGAGTCACTTATATCCTGTGCCCATCTTTATGTCGGTCGGCCCCTGCCCCTCCTTCCTGGTACCATGCCTTCTGCTATTATTTTTTCCAATCCGTTGTGGCGCTTGGTATGACCAAAATATTTCAGTTTCGGAGACAAGATGCTGTTTATTAGCCAATCTTCCTTGAAGTTCAGATCTTTTCAGATGTCAGTATTTCTCCTATTTACGTCATTAGAACGAGAAAATCTCAGTCATAATGATAAACCAAAAATAAGTACAGTGGTTAATATGTCATTTCAATGCATCTGAGATGATTTCTGAGATCAATTTTCAAGGGAAATTTTTTTCTAGGTTAAAGAGGCAAAATTTGGGGCTGGAAACGGATGACACCATTTTTAGTTAGTTCCCATGAGAAAAATTTGTTTGATTTTCATTAAAAACAAAAAATATTTCTTCTCTCCTCAGGAATGGATTAATGACGAATATTTGAGTGCCGCTGTATTTGTATGCTTCCATCTTTTTCCTTCACTGAACTTTCTAGTCTTTGTTTGCGGTCTTCAGGATGCGACAGGAGGCTATCACCGAGACAGTCTCATGAGAAACGCATGAGTAGACTCTTTACAGTGGAGAGGGAAATATTTATAATAAAAGTTAAGTATTAGTTCCTGGCACTTGAATCCAAATTTTTGATATAACAACATGGCGGGGTTGGTTACTGACACATGCAGCAGTACATCTTTGCCCATACAAGTCTGTGGACAGAAACACAATGTAACATAGTTACTGATGTATTCTTAATTTGTCATGGCTTTTGTTCTTCATGTACTGATAGGACACATTATCTTTTCTTCTTCTTCTTCTTCTTCTTCTTCTTAGCGTTTACTGGCTGTAAACTCCGGCAAAAAGTTTCGGTTGTTTGTCCACTCCTGGACTTGATCCAGAGCTCGAGTTGTGTGTGCACATTTATTTTACAGATCTGACGTATAAATATGCAGACTGTTGGTTCCATTCCTCTCAAGCAGATGCACTCTGACTTGACTTCAAAGAAAAATCCTTTAATTAGCCTATTACAGCATGCCTTTTAGGGAGTAGTGGGTCTATTCTTTGTTTTCTTAATGGATGTGAATGCAAAACTAAACTTCTGGAACAAGACCAAAGTCAAAAATTAGAACTTCCCACTGGAGTTTTCAGCCGGTTAACGCTAAGAAGAAAAAGAATAGGCATGAAACAAAATAGACAGACATAGATACTGAAAAAGAAATGACTGCTTGTGGTTCTATCACGAAATATCCAACAAACATAGACACTGAACAAGAAATCATTATCTATGGTTTTGTCATAAGCAATGAAGAAGAAATCACTATCCATGGTTTTGTCATAAACACTGAACAAGAAATCACCATCTATGGTTTTGTCATAAATACTGAACAAGAAATCACTATCTATGGTTTTGTCATAAATAATGAACAAGAAATCACCATCTATGGTTTTGTCATAAATACTGAACAAGAAATCACTATCTATGGTACCGTCACAGACACTGAAGAAGAAACCACTATCTAGGGTACAGTCATAAACACTGAACAAGAAATCACTATCGATGGTACTGCACAGACACTTAACAAAAAATTCTTATCTATTCTTCCTCTTTTTCTTCTGCCTTTCTATCCCCCAATGGAGCATAGACCCTCAACCAACTCACGCCAAGTCGTTCTTTCCTTCACCATCCCATCTTTCTAACTTCATTCTCCAGCTCTCTTCTCCATGTCTTTTTTGGCCTTCCTTTATTACTATGCCCCTGTGGGTTTTAATGCAAAGACATTCTAGTAATGATGTTCTCCTGTTTTCTCAGTGTGTGTCCTATCCAACACCAGCATCTTTTCCTCACCTCTTGGTCCACTGGAGCCTGACTAGTTCTCTCCCAAAGCTCTACATTAGTGATTCTATCATTCCATTTAATTCCCTCTATTCTGCGCAGGCACCATTTAATGAATGTCTGTAATAGAACTGTCATAATCACTGAACAAGAAATCACTATCTATAGTTTTGCCACAAACAAAAGTAGGAAAAAGAAATATTCAACAAGAAATGAACCACTTCAGGCAACAAACTCTGTTACAAAACATCAAATACACAGACATAAACACTGAACAAGAAAACACTGCCTACAATTTTAACAAACAACAAAAGCAAACACAGACACTGAACTTCTTCTTTTAGCATTCGCTGGCAGGAAAGTTCTGGCTGTTTGTCCACTCCTGGATGTCTGTTTGATAGATCTAGCTTCTTTGTATGCAGACTGTTGGTTCCTTCCCTCTCAGTCAAATGTATTCTGACTTTGAGGGAAACGTACCTAATTAGTCGCCTCCTCTGACATGCTTGTTAGGGGGGGGGGGGGGGGCGATGGGTCTGTTCTTTGTTCTCCAAAATGGAGCCTTGAAACCGACATAGGGAAGATACTAAACAAGAAATAACTGCCTATAATTCTGCCATAAAACAGACACATCTAAAACTATAAACACAAAGAATGAGCAGATGTAACAAAGAGACAGTCACCCACCTGAATCAAGTGATACAACATGAACGTTGCTATGCCAGCCCCTCTCCATTCTGGGTGGGTGAAGATAAATGAAATGTATGCCTCATTGTAGCCTCGGTCTGGCACCATGAAAGCAAAAGCTATGACGATTTTCCTGTTTTAATAGAGAAACATCAGTACTGGATAACATTTTCCTCTATTCTATTTTTATCATCAAAGCAGCAGATGCTCTCAATCAACCCATACCAAGTTCACTTATCCCCCCTCTCACCTGTACATGAGAGGCACCCACACCTCTCACCTGTACATGACAGGCACCCACACCACTCACCTGTACATGACAGGCACACACACCACTCACCTGTACATGAGAGGCACACACACCACTCACCTGTACATGAGAGGCACACACACCACTCACCTGTACATGAGAGGCACACACACCACTCACCTGTACATGACAGGCACACACACCACTCACCTGTACATGACAGGCACCCACACCACTCACCTGTACATGACAGGCACCCACACCACTCGCCTGTACATGACAGGCACCCACACCACTCACCTGTACATGACAGGCACCCACACCACTCACCTGTACATGACAGACATGCATGTGACTCACTGTACACGACAGACACACACGCCACTCACTTGTACACAAAAGACAGACACGTCACTCACCTGTACATGACAACACAGCTAAAATCTGGATACTGTAAGCACTCCGATACTGAAGAAAAAAAAACAAGTTATTTATACTACACATCTAGGTATAGTTATGCAAACATAAAATTCACCTGTTACATTAATATTTCTGCACAGTAATTTGTTAAAGTGGCTAGATGCTCGCCTGTCAACCCAAAGATCTTGGGTTTGAATCCACACTGAATCAGAAAAAAAGTCCCAGGCTGACCCAGTCTAAAACAGGTACCAGTTAATGTCCGGGGACTGGGAAGTAAAGACAGCCGGTGATGCTGACATTTTGAGTGCGGATTTGTTAGTTAATTTTTAAAAAAAAAGAGGGAAAAGTTGAAGGCAAGTGAAACAAAACAAAGGCAGACAGCAATACAAATGGAGGATAACATCAAGAGACAGAAGAATAGCAGTATGAGAGAGTGTTCAATCCAGGGGTGAAAGGTACATGAGGTACTTGTCGGGCCGCGTTATTCTCAAGCCATCGGAGCCGTTACTGCCTCCACCTCCATTCTCATACTAGATGTTGTGACCCTGTATGTGAGGCTCTCTGTTTGAATTCTCTTTTGCAATAAAACCCCACCCACTCTTCTCACCTCTCACTCCAGACCCATCTGTATATATTATGATGTCCCCTGGCCGCAAATGTTCATTGACCAGCTCTTGCACCGACGCCTCTGTTTCACCAGCTATCCATACCCGACACCCTCAGTCCAAGATAACTAACCACTCTGTGCAAGTCTGTTTTGCTTGGCTGCATTGTAACCCAATTTTCACCATGTGCTATCGTGTCAGTAGCATAAACAGTTCTGATCATGGCGTCTGCCTGTGCCATCCAAGAGCCACCTCTTTTGGGCTGTTTTCCATTACTTTCTCCTAAGGCCTCATACAGAAGGTGTTCCCTGTTCGCTGCGACTTTGAGGTACATTTTCACCTGTTGTATCTCTCATATACAAATGGTAGTGCAAGTATGTGCCGCATGCACACAAATGGCATGTTTCGGGCACACCCCAAAATGATTTCGCATGGCTTTATTTTGTGTACGTTCCAACTTCTCTATTTAAGTATGAGATCATGTTAGCGGTCCCTAACCGAACTCCGTCACCGAAATAATCAGTTGCTGGTAGAGTGTACAGAGCCGTTTATTGATTACGATCTTTATATATTTCAAAACTAAAATTCTAAAAATTTAAATAAATAAATGTTTTAAACAATATATAAACATGCATAACATAACCCTTGACCTGGATCCTGGAGGTGTATCAATGGAAGCCCTAGCAAACAAAACCCGCCATCTCTCTCTGTCCTCCGCTTGATGAATCATCATCATCATCAGGTGCCTTGCCGACTGGGGTGGGCGATCATGCCTCTCCATAATCTGCGATCTCCTGCAGCATGTATCAGTTCGTGTGCCGACACGCCTCCATGCCATGCAACAAGACTGTCAAGCATCTTCTCTCGTTGTCTTCCTCTATCCCTCCTTCCACGGATCTATCCAGTGGTCACAAAATGTTATATTTTCCCTCTTCTCATAACATGGCCGAAAAATTATGACTGTCTCCTTCTGATGTCTGTGATAAGTTGTCTTCAGTCTCCTGCCTCTTTCAAAACCTCTTGGTTGCTCTTTTTGGCTTGATGAAAAAGTGTATGATAAGTTAGTCCTGTTCATTTTTTTAATGTCATTTCAGATTCTTCTAAATATATGTTGAAATACAAACTGCCATCAATGCTGGCCAAAGCAACAAACAGCTAATGGAAATAAATATATGTGGCCAGAAGCAACAAACAGAATGGAACCATCAACAATCAATGCCTGGCCACAGCTAATGGAACATACAAACTGACCATCAATGCCTGGCCAGAAGCAACAAACAGCTAATGGAACATACAAACTGACCATCAATGCCTGGCCAGAAGCAACAAACAGCTAATGGAACATACAAACTGACCATCAATGCCTGGCCAGAAGCAACAAACAGCTAATGGAACATACAAACTGACCATTGGCCAGAAGCAACAAACAGCTAATGGAACATACAAACTGACCATCAATGCCTGGCCAGAAGCAACAAACAGCTAATGGAACATACAAACTGACCATCATAAAGCAACAAACAGTAGTCAAACTGGATGGCCAGAAGCATGCTAATGGAACATACCAAACTGACCATCAATGCCCAGGCAACAAACAGGGAACATTCCTGTGGCCAGAAGAATACACACACGTTGACATATACATGTTCCGGTCTGATATAACAGTAGTCAAATGTCTGGAAGAAGTACAAGGCATCATACAATGCAAACATGACCGATATGTGAGATGATGCCATTCACACAGACAACACAATAATGGATGTGTATGACTATAACCCACATTCACACAACAAAATGTATACAACTTGTGAAGGTCTCTGTATAGAAATGAAATCGAGAAGAGACCAAAAACAGAACATGAATGTTACCTGTGAGGAAAGGCCACAATTTCCTCAAGCAATCTCATCTTCGGTGGCTTGTGAGATGGGTTCAAGTTTCTCCATATGAAGGGAAGAAGAATTCTAACGACAGAACAAAAGGTTGTGTTGTAACAAACATTATCACAAATAAAAGTAACTTTATTTTAGGTAAAGGACATTTTTTTTTTTACATTTTTAACACCAGCAGCCATTCAGACTCTTATTTTTATCAACCAATCAGCATTACATCCAAGCATAACTATGAGTGCAAAGAGACAGATTATTAATAGCATATTTATTCCAACATTAAGCTACCAGTGCCAAACATGGACACTATCTAAAGCCCATAAACGCAAAATTACCACCTGCGAGATGAGGTGCCTGAGAAAAGCAGCCAACCTAACCATACGAGATCGAGTGCATAATGAAACTATCAGGCAAATTGTGGTAACGACACCTTGTACTAGATTCATCGAGAAACAGCAGATCAAGTGGTTTGGCCATCTCGTTAGAATGCAGCAAGATCAAATACCATCACAAGCACTACATCGCAGAAGATCAACTACAAGAGCAAGAGGACGGCTGCGGAAAATATGGATCGACAACATTAAAGACACTATACGCCTTCACGGCATGACAACAGTCAGTGGCATTTAATGTGCACTGGATCGCAAATTATTCCTTCCCACGACGCTCAACTGCAGAAGTGGTTTATGATGATGATGATGATGAATCAGCATTTGATCGTAGATGTGATCAATACCACCTACCCATAATTATTTCTCAGGATGTTACTTGGTACGAGTACCAACTGTAGGCTAGGTCGAACCTAGAGGCCAAGGTCAGTTAAAAAAATATAAAAATAAGTGTGAATGCGAAACTGAACCAAAGAAGTTTAGGCAGAAGTTTAGTGATGTAAAGGGATCTTTTCTCATGTCTTCAGGTGTACTGGACAGATAGGGCTAGACCTTCTTCTTCTTTTCATTCGCCTGAAATAAGTTGTCTATATCAGCAGTTTTGTCTCTTGTATCAATTTCACTGTCGTTGTTAGTTCATTCAGTGGTCCCTAGAGTTTACGTTACACTGTTGTTCTTTCTGGCCAAAAGGTTTACCTTAATGTGTCAAATTCGGTGCAGTCCTGGGGTACATGCTCTGTCTGGGGCACATTTCCACAGGTGCACATATGGCTGATAAACCTATCTTGAATTATGTGTACATGTGGTTACGTAATCGGCTGTGTCCTGTACTGAGTTCTGGTGTGGCCATAGTAAAATAGGGCAATCTGTCCATAGTAAAATAGGGCAAGACCTATATTGTATAGACCAACCAGCTCTTGGTGGGTGATGTGGTCAGCATCATGCCGGCCACCTTTACTTCCCAGGACTTTTAACTGGTAGCCACTCAAGGCTGGGTCAACATGGGAACCAAGGTCATTTTGGGGGAAAAAACAAAACAAAGTTCGAGCTTAGTCAGGGCCCAAACCCAGGACTTTCTGATCCACAGGCCAGCGTCTAGTTGCTACATAACGGCAACCAGTGATGCATATATACACAGGCCAGCGTCTAGTTGCTACATAATGGCAACCAGTGATGCACATATACACAGGCGAGCGTCTAGTTGCTACATAACGGCAACCAGTGATGCATATATACACAGGCCGGCGTCTAGTTGCTACATAACGGCAACCAGTGATGCATATATACACAGGGCTACATAACGGCAACCAGTGATGCACTATACACAGGCCGGCGTCTAGTTGCTTAACGGCAACCAGTGATGCATATTACACAGGCCAGCGTCTAGTTGCTACATAACGGCAACCAGTGATGCACATATACACAGGCCATAAGTTAGTCTACATAACGGCAACCAGTGATGCTCATATACACAGTTAGTTGCTACATAACGGCAACCAGTGATGCACATATACACAGGCCAGCGTCTAGTTGCTACATAACGGCAACCAGTGATGCTCATATACACAGGCCAGCGTCTAGTTGCTACAGAACGGCAACCAGTGATGCACATATACACAGGCCAGCGTCTAGTTGCTACATAACGGCAACCAGTGATGCTCATATACACAGGCCAGCGTCTAGTTGCTACATAACGGCAACCAGTGATGCACATCCAGGCCAGCGTTCATAACGGCAAAAGTGATGCACCTACACAGGTGAGCGTCTAGTTGCTACAAACGGCAACCAGTGATGGGCACATATAAACAGGCCAGCGTCTGGGTGTCTACATAACGGCAACCAGTGATGCAACATATCACAAGGCCAGCGCGTCTAGTTTGCTACATAACGTTTAGAATTTGCTACATAACGGCAACCAGTGATGTTCATATATAGCTCTAGTTGCTACATGGCAACCAGTGTGCATACATACTGAGCGTCTAGTTGCTGCTACATCAGCGTCTAGTTAACGGCAACCACCAGGCCGGCGTCTAGTTGCTACACATAACGCATTGCTCATATACACAGGCAGCGTCTAGTTGCTACATAGGCAGTGATGCACATATACTGTTTTAGAATTCTTCCCTTTGCAGAACTGATCACTGCTGCTATCACTCACCAGTCTCGTGTAGCAGGTCCTTTGCAGAACGGTCTCATCAGTCTAGTTTTCTCGCGCTAGTTGGATCCCGCCTCATGCACTTTCACACTCAAGGAGTAACTTATATCCTGTGCCCATCTTCTTGTCGGTTGGCTCCTGCCTCTCCTTCCTGGTACCATGCCTTCTGTTATAATTTTTTCAAATCCATCGTGGCGCTTGATTTGACCAAAATATTTCAGCTTTCAAGAAAGGATGCTGATTATCAGCCAATCTTCCTTGATGTTCAGATCTTTTAAGATGCCAATATTTCTCATCTTTTTTGCCCTTCCACCACTACTATCATTATTACTACTATTTTCGCTCCTTCATTCATTTATTGTATCAGTTCCACATTACCATGTCATCGGCGACAGGGTCGTCCATTGGCTGGCTGGCTGGTGGACGGCTTCGTCACCAGTCGGGAAAATATCTGGTTCTGTCTCTCTTGATCGCATCAACACTGCAGGAGTCCTTTTCATGGCTATTTGGTGGTCATCAATACTAAGCCATTTTGTATAACGCACATAAACCAGTCACAATTATAACCGAAAGCTACCCCTTAGGGGAATGCTGGTTGAATATGACACATTTTTTTTAGCAAATCAATTCAAGACGTTACCAATTTTCGGCCTGGTGTCTGCCCCTTGAAGTTGTGGTTTTTGTTGAGAAAGGCTGTGGCCAAAACATCTGACTGTTGTGTACATGCTTCCCCCCCCCCCCTTCCCCCAGTTTAGCTTCATAGTCCTTAGTTCAGTGGATTAATTTCTTGGTATTGGCTTGATTGCAGTCACTCCCGTTTTGATCACTTTTTGATTGATGTATATTGTTATGATGCTTACTCTCATGTTTCAGCAGCGATTACTTTCTGGTAAACTGTAATTATTTCTACTGTTCAATTTGCCACCAAACGTTACTGAGTTGCTAGAAATTAATGATAAGCCAACATAGTGAAACAAACAATCTCTGCCTGTGGGTTCCTAGGCCCATTGTAAAGGATGGGGGGGGGGGGGGGGGGAAGGAGGACAGACCCAATGCTCCCTGACACGCATGTTGTAAGAGTCAACTAATTAGGATTGGTTCCTTCAAAGTCAGAATTCATCTGTCTGAGAGGCGGGAAACCAACAGTCTGCATACAGATAAAGCCAGATCTCTAAAATGGATGAGCAGGCGAAACTCCAGTTCTGGAACAATAATGTCCAGAAGTGGATGAACAACCAGAACTTTCTGCCCGAGTCTGCAACTACTGAACATGAAGAAAAAGAATTAGAAAGAAAAACATTCCAATTATGAAAAAAATGACGTACTAAAGCCACAGAACAAAAGTAGAACAAACTTATGAAAAAATTACAGAAGAAAGTCATAAAACAAACACAGAATGAAATTATAAAATAAACTACAGTTTGATGCTGTGAAACAAATGACAGAATAAAGTCATGAAAAAAAAGAATATATAAAAATTATGAATCAAGAACAGTTTAAAGTTAGACTCAAACATACAACCAGGAATGAAAAACAGACTACTGTTATCAACCAATAAACATTCTTGTAAAAAACAGCAGAATAAGACTGCACTTCAATGTATTTTTTTTTAAAATCATTAAAGAAAGCTATTGTAGACAGCAACAAAGTCAAACTGTGACTCCAAGGTGAACTTACAGACCACATTTATGTAGACAATAACAGTGGCAACTTGTAATTCTATGGTGAACCTACAGCAGAGATGTAAGTATATGTGACTCTACAGAGAACCTAAGGTAGACATGTATGTATACAATGGGTGTTACTGATAGAAGACAGGTATTATGCAGTAACATGCATGTAGACAGTGGATGTTACTGACAGTAGACATGTATGATGCAGTAGTATGTAGACAGTGGGTGTTACTGACAGTAGACATGTATGATGCAGTAGTATGTAGACAGTGGGTGTTACTGACAGTAGACATGTATGATGCAGTAGTATGTAGACAGTGGGTGTTACTGACAGTAGACATGTATGATGCAGTAGTATGTAGACAGTGGATGTTACTGACAGTAGACATGTATGATGCAGTAGTATGTAGACAGTGGGTGTTACTGACAGTAGACATGTATGATGCAGTAATATGTAGACAGTGGGTGTTACTGACAGTAGACATGTATGATGCAGTAGTATGTAGACAGTGGGTGTTACTGACAGTAGACATGTATGATGCAGTAGTATGTAGACAGTGGGTGTTACTGACAGTAGACATGTATGATGCAGTAGTATGTAGACAGTGGATGTTACTGACAGTAGACATGTATGATGCAGTAGTATGTAGACAGTGGGTGTTACTGACAGTAGACATGTATGATGCAGTAGTATGTAGACAGTGGGTGTTACTGACAGTAGACATGTATGATGCAGTAGTATGTAGACAGTGGGTGTTACTGACAGTAGACATGTATGATGCAGTAGTATGTAGACAGTGGGTGTTACTGACAGTAGACATGTATGATGCAGTAGTATGTAGACAGTGGGTGTTACTAACCTGGTCGTGTATGGACTGACGACTGGCGTCAGCTCCTCGTCCCTGATACCGACCAGTCTCTGGTGGAAACTTGTATAGCGGCGAGATTCAATCTTCTTCTTCTTGTCATGTATCTGGATAACATATGGAATACATACATAATATACATATCCACATCTGATGCAGAGGATCTTTGTGGCGAAGTGGTCAAGCCATTGGCCTCGCACTCTGAAGGTCATGGGTTTGTTTCATGGCTGTGCTGTTTAGTTTACAAGTGTAATTTTTACAGAGATCCCTGGGGATCACCGCCAGTTTGTGTTCTGTGTGGCGCTCTCAGCAGGTGGCTAGCCATCTTGTGGAGAGAGACAGAGTCCATTTGGATAAAACCTGGAGCAATGAAGTCAATCCTCTCAACTTTAACCTTTATGATACAAATATATCTATAAAATATCTATTTATGATACAAATATATCTATAAAATATCTATTTATGATACAAATATATCTATAAAATATCTATTTATGATACAAATATATCTATAAAATATCTATTTATGATACAAATATATCTATAAAATATCTATTTATGATACAAATATATCTATAAAATATCTATTTATGATACAAATATATCTATAAAATATCTATACAAATATAGGAAGGAGTTGTATATAAATAAATACAGAAGATGTATACGGTCAATCATTTGTGTATACAGATGTTCTTCCATGATATTTTCTTTCTGATCATCTCAGAAAGATAGAAAAATAGATGAAATAGATGAAAAAAAACAAGAGAATAACTAAGAAAAGGAATAGTACAAACAGTTATACAGAAACCATTGTGGAAACATAAATAAAGTGTTTTCTTCTATTCTTTATCCTTAACTGCAGCAAAAGCCTCAACCAATTCAAGTTGTCGTCCTATCTTCTGCTGTCATGCGCAGCTAGCAACATGTTCTCCCCATATATTTTCGACTCTACTTCATCCGAATACAAGTCTATGGTTAAGCGCCAGAAAGGAAATTAAAATTATGAGAGCATGTGTCTTCCCAGTAGCAACATACGAATGTGGACTATCTTCCAGTCTTTTAGAAAGAAAGTAAGGTCTTTTGAGCTGAAATGTTATAGAGAGATTCTCAGAATACCACAAGTAAAGAACAGAAGAAATACTGACATTTTAAAAGATCTGAACATCAAGGAAGATTGGCTAATAAACAGCATCTTATCTCGGAAGCTGAAATATTTTGGTCATATCAAGCGTAAAGGCAGATTGGAAAAACAAAATTAGCAGAAGGCATGGTATCAGGAAGGAGGGGCAGGGGCCGACCAACACAAAGATGGGCACAGGATATAAGTTACACCCTGAACATGAAAGTACACGAGGTGGGAGAGCTGAAGAGAGACTGAGTTTTGTTCAGGCCAACCGTGATGACAGCAGCATTCTGCAAAGGACCTGCTACATAAGGATGCCTTTATACTGACTCCCTTCTCCATGTGATTTTGTTTGGGGTCCGCCCTAATTTTGTTTTACCCTAGTTATATTATCAGTTTTACCAGTGAATTCTATGTCTTTTCCTCCCCTCTTGATTCACTAGAATTGGCTTAAACAGAAATCCAGGGGGTTGAAACCTATGACCACCAAGCAGACAGGCAAGCCCGCTAGCTACTAAGTCATCACAGCCCCTCCCCCCACCCTCCCAAAGATTTTGAATATTTAAAGTTATTCTTTTGCACACAAGTGATATATATATATATATATATATATATATATATATATATATATATTATCACTAAATGTATGTATGTGTATGTATATATATATATATATATGTATGTATGTATGTATGTGTATATATATGATTCATATATATGTATGTAATGTATGTGACATATATATATATATTCTATATATATAATATATATATATATATATATATATATATATATATATATATATAGTATGTATGTATGTATGAATTTTTGTTGTGTTTTTAATATATATATAAGGTATTTTATAAATATAACCACATATATATAATATATACTATGCAGTCGCAACAAGTACCAAAGCTGTTACACAGGTATAATAGCCGCTGCCCAAAGACACCTGGACAACAAAAAACATAAAAATAGGAAAAACCACCCTTTCAATGCCTCTCTTCTCATCACATACATATGGAACACAGACCGCCTATTTATACAGTATACTTCTATTCTTTTGTCAAATTCTGCTTGTGCTGCTAGGCGTCGCAGTCTATCATATGATCGGCATATATAGCCAGGGAAATTATCACTCGCTTCATATGCCGTGATGTTATAAAAGTCTCAAGTTGTCCGTGACTCCTTCAATCCGTGTTCTTCTTGGTTCTTCCCCTGCCTCTTGGTGTTTCGATTTCATGTTGTATACTCTGATGCTCACAATCGTTGGTTCCATTTTTTTTATTAGGTGACCAAAAAAATTTCATTCTTCTGCTTCTCAAGAAATTTAACGATGGGTATGGTTCCATATAACCACACCCGCCATAATCACATCGTTTCTCACTCGATCTCTTCTGGTTTTATTCGCAGCCATTCTCAAACATCTCATTTCACAGGTAGTTAGTCTTCTCTCGTGTTCTTTTGTTAATGTCCAAGTCTGACATAGATAACCTAATGTCGGTATAAAGATTACAGTATACTAGTCTACATAAATATTACCATAAACCTGTCCAGATCTCTGGTCTCCTTGGTGTCGGCACATCTGCTAGGTTTATACTGCAGGCACGTCTGCTGTGGCATGTCCTGTAAATGTCAAAGAAGCAATGTTATCACCATAACTGGACACACAGACAGAGAAAATCGGGCTGTATGGGACACATCCTGATGAGAAATGAGCACAGAATCATTAAACAGACATCCCTGTGTGGGTTTCAGGGCCCTGTTATAGGGAAAACAAGAATAGACCCACTGCCTGCCCAAAAGCATGTCGTAAGAGTCGACTAATTGGGAGCTATCTTCAAAGTCGGAGTGCATCTGCCTGAGAGGCAAGGAACCAGCAGTCTGCAAATAAATGAGTCAGATCTGTAAAATGGATGCACACACAACACTCAGGTTCTGGAACAGGACTGCAGTCGAGAAATTGATGAACAGCCAGAGTTTACAGCTGGTGAACGCGAAGAAGAAGATTAAACAGGCAGTAAATGGGGAAGTAAAGGGAATAATGAGGCAAGGACGCCCAAAAGAAACCTTAAAACAAACACTGATAAGAGAGACCAAAGGTGCTGGATTGGATTCCATCCATGATATTGTAATGATTGCTCAGGATAGAGCAGAATAGAGGAATAGACTGCAAGCACTATGTGACATATAATGGTGCAACATGACATTGACTGACTGACACCTGGACACATCACAGTCTGGTGTCAGACTGTTTGTGTTGGCACTTCTGACATTTGCCTTATGCATTTAATGTGTATGTATGCTGCTGGATTTGCTAAGACTACAGTCTGTGTAGATGTTTTTCAGAAGGGACAGTGATGGATATTCAATGTCGTTTACATTGGTTCAGGAATGGGGTAACTATGGGATTAGTCATTTGTTATGAAGGTGGAAGTGCTATTTCAGGATTACATCACAGGAACAAACAAAGGGATTATGACTGATGGATTATAATGGTTGCCTGGAGGGATATCACTTGTGGAACTCATCCAGAGGACAAGGTACAAAGATCAATGGAGACGCATGAACATCTAAGCCAGTCAGCAGGGCATGTGATGATGATGATGATCACAGGAACATTATAGCAGACTGAAGGTGATGTGTTCAAAGCCTTTTGGGGCAAGTAAGCAATACGGTGCCACAAACATCACTGCAATGTATAGAGAATGGTAAGGCAGGGACTGACCAGAAGATCTGGCCACCATTACACACTCACAGGAAAGGCAAGATAGACATGTAATCAAAGTACTTCTGGTACCATCGGTACTGGAGCTCTTCACTGGCTTATGAAGATGGTGGTGGAGCATGTATGGGAATGTTCCGAGCGTTGTGATGCTGGTTCTTGACTCAACTCACTGAAGGTGAATATTACAGTCCCCACAGTATAGCACTGGTGAGTATGTCTGCCCGCAACCTTCTGTCATGTACACCGTCTTCCCATGTGGGTTAAGGGGCCCCATGGGTTCAAGGGCTGCCAAGAGTTCAAGGACTCCTAAGGGTTCAAGGGCTCCCAAGAGTTCAAGGGCTCCCAAGAGTTCAAGGGCCCCCCAAGGGTTCAATGAGGGGGAAAAGGAACAGACCCACTGCCCTCCTCCCCCTACAGGCAGGTTGTAAAAATCGCTAGCTAGGAGCCTTTTCTTCAAAGGAGTTTACAGCCGGTGAATTCGAAGAGGAAACCTGTCACCTTCTATTGATGACAGCCCCTTGCTGCAAGAACAAGTGTACTTCAGAGCATGAACAACAAGACACCCCTAAAAAAGGGGTCATCATTAGCCTGGTTTATCACACAGCCTGTACCAATAACTACGGAAATACAAACATAATTTGTTTCAAACCACTGAAATGGTACTGCAGGTTACATAAATTCATATAAACCAAGCATTCTCCTGTGGGTTCGGGGACCCATTGTGTGGAAAACAAGAAAGACCCATTACCTCCCCAAAAGGATGCTGTAAGAGTAGGCTAATTGTGAGCTTCCTTTGAGGTTGGAGTACATCTGCTTGAGAGACAAGTAACTATCAGTCTGCATACAAATTATATGTATAATATATGCAACAGGTTCTGGAACAGGACTAGAGTCCAGAAGAGGATGAACAACCAGAATTTTCTGCTGGGGTGTACAGGCAGTGAACGTGAAGAAGAAGAAGATATTAACCAAGCACAGGTCAAATAACACGCATAACCAAACATTTCAGGCCGTTATGCTGCATTTAGTATATAACCAACATTTAACATACTTTGGGAGTGGGGAGAGAAGGCCATAAAGACAAAATAAAAGGACATAAATAGAAAATTAGACATAAACTTACAGAAGTAGTCGTCTCCAATTTGGCCAGTTTGTCCATGTGATTTTCCAGGTCAAACACAGGAAGGCCAAACTCTCGATTAGTCTGTGGGTAGAAGAATATGTTTATTTCAACCAAAGACATTTGATCAAGAGCTTTTAGATTAACATTTTTTTTTTAAAAATGCGGTCTCTGAAATGGCGGCCGACTTTAATGATAGGCGCATCTATAATCGTTTTTTCCCTTGGAATATTCCGTGTTGGGGCCCCTGTTACTGTGCGACTCTTGACCCACTGTCCAAAAGCCATGAAAACAGTTTCTTACTAAACTAAGGAAATCGAGCCCTGGAACAGAGAGGATTGTAGCACGACCAGCTCCAGACATAAAGCTGTACATTTCAAACGGGAAATAATCGGGCTATTCGAAAATATTTATCTTCAAAATGATAATTCATTCAATAACACATGTTGCAAATTAATTAAACTCTAGTTCAATTTGTGTATAAATCTACTCGATTACAATTGCACTGACCGGCCGCGCCAGCCTCACAAAAACAGGAATTCCCGTTTGAGCAGTACGGCCTTATATCTGGAGCTAGCCGTCATTGTAGAATGTGTCACCAACCTCTAAGCCACAATAGGTTTACACTGATCATATGTAATATACGAGGGTAGTCTAACAAGAAAAAGGAGTTTCAAAACAGGGTAACTTCTGTGACAGACTGTCTCGATCAGGGACACAGTAACCCAAGAGCCAATTGCAGCCTTCACCCCTTCACTGATCGAAAAAGAGAGACAACTGATTGTCAAAAGTGGGGTGGCCATCTTTAAACTGCCATTATGACATCACCATGTTTGCACTGGAGGTAACATACTTGCCACTCTTGACGTGCTTAACACCAATGCTGACAGCTTACAAGTTAAAGGCATGGCTACTGTAAATTTTATCACATTTTAAATGTTTTAATATGAAGCTCCCTTGTACAACCCAAAATACAATATCAGATGAACTAAGCAAAAGAAAAACATTCATGAACAATACTGTACATATGTATAAATAATAAACCTGACAGTGTGTGTACATGCGAGTATGACAACATATGTATACATAAACATGACAATGTGCGTGTATATTTGAATATAATAATATGTGTACAAATGGACATGCAACTATGTGTACATGATCTACATGCAGGTATGTTGTTTGTTCCATCACAAGTGATGGAGATCATTTTACATCCAAACTTAATGATCAGTGACTGTGAAATGAGGATGGCTGAAGAGTCTAATTCCAGTGCGGAAAGTTTTTTGAGCAGTGTGGGTAACAAGTGGAAGCAACAGTTGAGGTGGGATTTGCCACAAACATGCAACACAACATATCTGCACAGAAACATGACAACTGTACATAAACATCACAAACTGGTTACATTTTTCTTCTTCTTTGCATTTACTGGCTGTAAACTCCAGTGGAAAGTTCTAGACTTCTGGACTGTAGCCTTTTCCAGAACCTGAGTTTTGTGTGCACATCTTTTTTTAATAGATTACAGATCAGGTTTAGTTTATATGCAGACTGTTGGTTAATTGCCTCTCAGGCAGATGCAGTCTGACTTTGAAGGAAGCCTCTAATCAGCCAACATGCTTGTCAGGGAAGCAATGGGCCTACACCCCCCCCCCCCCCCAAAATAAGGCATCGAAACCTACACAGGGAAAACTGGCTAACAGGAAACCACGACAACATGTGCGCACACAAGCACATGAGTGGAACAACTGAAAAAGTGTGAAATCAGCAAGACTACCTGGTTACATATCAGCTTCCTCCTGAACTGTGCCAGGTTGGCTGGCAAGGGCTGCCTGGCTGCTGTGTTGTTCAGTTTCATCAGGAGTTCACCTTCTTCAAACAGGCTGATTCGCTTCAATCTGCGACAGGAACAAAGGGACAAGGAAGTTAAAAAATAAACAAATTAAAAAAACAAAAACAAAAAAACAACAGACATGATGAAATGTCAAGAGATACGAACATGGGTCTCCCGCATGTGAGCGCACCATTCTTAACGAATGGACAAACATACTTTATTTTCAAAGGATTACAAACTCGGCCTGTCTTACATTTGGCCCTTCCAAACACTCACCTTTCACTCAGCAGTTGTATTTTTTAAATAAAGCATGTTATGTTTATATAATAATATGCATATTATGAACACCAAGAGAAGACACAAAAGCATGGGTGGTAAAAGGCATGGGAACACTCGTGTGGGCACATACACATACCCACATACACATGCCAACCTATTCGTCCACTCACTTACCCACCCACATACATACAAACATATTCCATACACACCCAAACACACACACTCACATATATATACATCATACATACACCCATGCATCCAGACACTCAAAGACACAATCACAGACCAGCACACACAGATTGACTACCCACACCGATACACACACACACACACACAGAAGGATATACGCATAGAAATCACAGAGATGCACACAAAAAATACACACACACAAAAGGCATAGATGCATACAGATACACACATGTACACATAGACCCACCCACACAGACAAACACACGGACAAAAACACACACATACATTAGGCATATATGTACATAGACATTCACAGACACACATACACAGAGAGACACAGGCACACACAGAGAGACATACACACAGGCACATACACAGATACACACACACACAGGCACATACACAGATATATATATCTATATACATATAATCATACATGCATACAGACACACACCTGCGCGCACAAAGACACACATGTACATGGACGCACACACAGTCACAGACACACACAAAGACACATACACACAGATACACACACATGCATACATATACATACATGAACTCTCATACATACTCTCAAATATGCCCATACACACACAAACTCTTAAACATATAAAAACAACCATACATACACAAACACCCAAACAATTAACCATGCACACAGAGAAAAAGAGGGAAAGAAAGAGAGAGAGAGAGAGAACCATTTAGCCAGCTGCTTCTCTACATGGTATTAACATGTAAACAGATAAATAACAGAAAAACACAAACTCACTGTTGGGGTGGAGTCGGTGGTGGAGTGTCATCAGGTTTTCTTCTTTTATAGGGTCTACTATACTGCCTGGTCCCACTGGTAGCAGCCTGTGAACGAGAAGCATCCTCTTCTTCCCTCTTCATTTCTTCTACTTCTGTTCCCTCCTCCTCTTCACTTGACCCCTGTTGTGTCCTCTTCCCTTGCCTATCATCATTGTAACTGTAAAGTTCATCATGAATATTTTGTTCACTAAAACACCCATATTCATTGCTTGCCGTGGCCTCTTGTTTCACTTCCACTGGAGGGTTTTTGTGTCTGGAGACGGGAGATTTGCCAGATATCCCAAAACCCAATTGTTCTGTGGAGAATATTGATAAACAGGGTGAGTAAAAAGTAACTCCCTATTTTTAAATACTTATAAATTATTTATTTACAGTAATTTATATCTAAAGTGTTAAGAAATTGAAAGGTGAATAACAGAAATTATATCTTCCATTCCATAAGAGCTCCTGGTGAAATCGACGCGATTCCTGGGCGGAAGCTGATAGTGAAATCCTACCCATTGCTTTACAGATCTGACTTTTTTGTATGCAGACTGTTGGTTTCTTGCCTTTCAGGCAGCTGCACTCCAATTCTAAAGAAAAGTTCCCTCATCAGTCTTCTTGTACGACATGCTTATTAAGAAGGCAGTGGGTATATCCCCCTCACCCCACTGGGGCCTAGGAACCAACATGGCGAGCGACAAAATTAATCATAAAATGTTAATCATAAATTAAGAGTACCTGTGTCAGTTGTCAGCATGATATCAACTCCTGGAGACATGGGACGAGGGTCCAGAGACTTGTCGGTTACCACCAGTTCTATGTCAAGGTCATCTTCATCGTCACTGTTCCCCATCATCATGAAGTGGCCGGCTGAGAAGTCACAGATTATAATGAGAATATCAGAGGACAGCCAAGTCATGCACAGAGACAACTGACTTGTAACAAGTTACACACATTGATAACTTACTTGGAACAAGATACACACATACATAACTTACTTGGAACAAGATACACATACAGATAACTTACTTAGAACAAAAAACACACAGATTACTTATTTGGAACAAGATACACACATAGATTACTTACTTGGAACAACAACAAAAAACACACAGATAACTTACTTGGAATAAAAAACACATACATAACTTACTTGGAACAAAATGCACACACAGATAATTGACTTCAACAAAAATTCATACACAGATAACTGACTTGGAACAAGATACACACATAAATGACTTACTTGGAACAAGATTCACATACAGATAACTGATTTGAACAAGATACACACATAGATAACTGACATAAAACAAGACACACACACACAGATTTTTGACTTGGAACAAGATTCACATACAGATAACTGATTTGAACAAGATACACACATAGATAACTGACATAAAACAAGACACACACACACAGATTTTTGACTTGGAACAAGATTCACATACAGATAACTGATTTGAACAAGATACACACATAGATAACTGACATAAAACAAGACACACACACACAGATTTTTGACTTGGAACAAGATTCACATACAGATAACTGATTTGAACAAGATACACACATAGATAACTGACATAAAACAAGACACACACACACAGACTTTTGACTTGGAACAAGATTCACATACAGATAACTGATTTGAACAAGATACACACATAGATAACTGACATAAAACAAGACACACACACACAGATTTTTGACTTGGAACAAGATTCACATACAGATAACTGATTTGAACAAGATACACACATAGATAACTGACATAAAACAAGACACACACACACAGATTTTTGACTTGGAACAAGATTCACATACAGATAACTGATTTGAACAAGATACACACATAGATAACTGACATAAAACAAGACACACACACACAGATTTTTGACTTGGAACAAGATTCACATACAGATAACTGATTTGAACAAGATACACACATAGATAACTGACATAAAACAAGACAAACACAGATTTTTGACTTGTAACAAGATACAGACACATTTTTTTTAAAAATCCAGAAACCATGATATGTAAACCCTTGAGCTCGGTACTATGGATATCGCAACACTCCAGCCTTGATCCCATGATGGATACCGTAAATCTGGGAAATATGTGGCTTTTCTGCCTACCCCTGGGCGTGAACTCGGACCACAAGGAGTTTGTATCATGGTCGCCACACAGCTGGTTTAACCAACTGAGCTAGCGCACCAGGCTAAACAACAGATAATGGCAGTGCATGAAATAAGTTACAGACAACTGACTTGAAACAGGGGACACACAGATAATTGACTGAACAAGTTTCACACACATATATGACTCAGAACAAGATACATAAACAGATAACTGGCATGGAATAATTGACACACACAGACAACTGACTTGAAACAGGGGATACACAGATAGATAAATAACTGACTCAGAACAAGATATTTACATACACAGTGACACAGAGCAAGTAACACACACAGATAATTTATTGACTAGGAACAAGACACATACACACACAGTGACACAGAACAAGTTACACACCCAGATATGTCTATTTAGAATTAGTTACATATACATAGACGTTGTGACAGAACAAGTTACACACCCAGATATGTCTATTTAGAATTAGTTACATATACATAGACGTTGTGACAGAACAAGTTACACACCCAGATATGTCTATTTAGAATTAGTTACATATACATAGATGTTGTGACAGAACAAGTTACACACCCAGATATGTCTATTTAGAATTAGTTACATATACATAGACGTTGTGACAGAACAAGTTACACACCCAGATATGTCTATTTAGAATTAGTTACATATACATAGACGTTGTTACAGAACAAGTTACACACCCAGATATGTCTATTTAGAATTAGTTACATATACATAGACGTTGTGACAGAACAAGTTACACACCCAGATATGTCTATTTAGAATTAGTTACATATACATAGACGTTGTGACAGAACAAGTTACATCCACAGATATGTCAATTTAGAATTAGTTACATATACATAGACGTGACAGAACAAGTTACACACCCAGATATGTCTATTTAGAATTAGTTACATATACATAGACGTTGTGACAGAACAAGTTACACACCCAGATATGTCTATTTAGAATTAGTTACATATACATAGACGTTGTGACAGAACAAGTTACACACCCAGATATGTCTATTTAGAATTAGTTACATATACATAGACGTTGTGACAGAACAAGTTACACACCCAGATATGTCTATTTAGAATTAGTTACATATACATAGACGTTGTGACAGAACAAGTTACACACCCAGATATGTCTATTTAGAATTAGTTACATATACATAGACGTTGTGACAGAACAAGTTACATCCACAGAATCAGACACACGTAGTGATATAGAACAAACTACATGCAGATATCTTCTTATTCTTCTTCTGTTCACCAACTATAAACTCCAGCGAAAAGTTCTAGTTGTTTGTCCACCTCCAGAGTTTGGTCCTCTTCCAGAACCTGGGTTATGCCTGCACATCCATCTTACAGACCTGTTTTTTGTGTGTGTGCAAGCAGATTGTTGGTTCTTTCCCTCTTAGACAGATGCACTCCGACTTTGAAGAATGAATTAACTAAGAACTCACATCTCTGCACTTGGGACATTCTTACACATGCTTCAGTAGCCAATGAAGAGTTGAGAAGCAAATAGCACCAGTTGCAAACCTAAATAAAAGCCCCCTCTGTTTACCCTTCAGTTTTGAATATCTTCCAGAACCTCTACACACCCACTGTTGAATTAGTCTTTCAGTGTATGGATTGCCCGTATGTTTTTTGTGTGTGCACTGTCCATCTGATCCATTTGCAACTTCAAAGGATGCCCCCCAGTTAGTCAACTTCTATGACATGCTTGCTGGGGAGGCAGTGGGTCTATTCTTGTTTTACAATAGGACCCCGGAACCAACATAGGGAGTATGCAGAAACGAGACACACAACAATATCCAACAGTACCTTTCTCAAAGTGAGCAGTCATATCATCCTCCCTGACTGAACTCTTCAACGACGAGGAATATGAGCCATCTGTAGTCAGAGAGAGGTCAGAAGATGCAATGCTGAACTGGCTGTCTGATAGATACAACTCCTCACTGAGTTCCAATGGAAAAGTCTGAAATAGGTTGTTGGATGGGCTCTGCTCTTTCAGCGACACATTCTTCTGTCCAGATTTCTTGGCTTTTGTTTTCACTTGTCTCTTTTTCTTAGACAGGCTTGGTAGAAAGTCATCAGTCTGTTTTTTGTTACTTGGTGTGTCTGGTGTGGGTAGACTAATGTATGCTTTTGACTTTTTGCTTTCCTGAGTAAAATACAGAAAAAAAAAAATCATTTCAGCTGGAATATATGTTCGCACTGTGTGGATGGAATATATGTTAGCACAGTGTGGATGGAATATATGTTAGCACTGTGTGGATGGAATATATGTTAGCACTGTGTGGATGGAATATATATTAGCACGGTGTGGGTGGAATATATGTTAGCACTGTGTGGGTGGAATAAATGTTAGCACCACGTGGATGGAATATATTTAGCAATGTGTGGTTGGAATATATGTTAACAATGTGCGGATAGAATATATGTTAGGAATGTGTGGATGAAATATATGTTAGCAATGTGTGTTTGGAATATATGTTAACAATATGTAGGTGGAATATATGTTAGTAATGTGTAAGTATAATATATTAACGCTGTGTGGATCGAAAAAACTATCAGTGTATGGGCAGATAATGCCCCCGTGTGGTAAAATATATGGCAGCACCATGATGAGAGAATTTATGTCTGTATTATGGATTAATTTATGGATAAATATAACTCACTTATGACCTTTAGAAAGATCAAAAGAAATGAGAAGTAAAATTTATTTATGCTACCAGTGCACTGTAAATATATTCTATAGAATATATAATTAAAAGTTGCTGAAAATGGCCAGCCTTGCTGCTACATCAAGATATGTGCCTGTTCCATATAAAACCATGTGCACATTGAGAAAGAAAGTATATCTGATGACCGTTGACAGTAGATATCTCAACAGCAACTGCAATGTCAGAGACGTCCAAAAACAGTATATGATATATCAGAAACGACACTAAACAGATCAACATCCGCTGCAAACAACACTAAACAGTAGCTGCAATATCACAAACAGTACAAAACAGTGGCTGCAGTGTCAGGAATAACACTTAACTGTGGCTATAGTTTCAACAATGACACTAAACAGTGGCTGCAATTTCAGAAGTCTCTTCTTCTTCTCTTCCACCTTGAACCTCATCGAAGTGTCGGGGGGAGATGTAACATTCGTTGATGAGCTCTGTCAAGAGCACTATTAAGACTTATGTTCATTTCTGTAAGGCTGTTCGTACTGCCATCACTCCATATTTTCCAAGGTCTTCCACTCGCTCTATACCTGTTGTAGCATTTTAGTGTGGCTCCCTATTGCAGATAGTACCAGGACATTCTTGTTAGGTGTCCAAACCAATTTCAGAAGTAACATTTAAAAAATGGCTATTATTTCAGTGATAACACTAAACAATGGCTTCAATTTCAGAGATAACACTGAACAATGGCTTCAATTTCAGAGATAACACTGAACAATAAGGGAGTCACCATGGTCGAGTGCCTAGACGCTCGCCACAGATTGGAAGGTCGTGGGTTCGCTCCTTGGCGAAGCCGGCCTTTAAAGAAAAAAAAAATTACCATGGCTCCCAGGTCGACGCAGCCTTGAGTGGGTATGGGGTGCAGCCCCGGAAAGTAAAGGTGGCCGGCGTGATGCTGACAACATCACCCATCTTGTTCCGAATGGTCTATAAAAATATAGGTCTAGCCCAATGTGCTTAATGGTGTGGAAAAGGGTCCTTTACTTTACTAAACAATAACCATAATGTCAGCAACGGCTACCTGCAAGCTGGACCTCTTCTCCTTGAGCTCTACCGCAGCTGCCAGGGAACTCTCAGCAGACTGCCTACACCTGCGCTGATCGGGATACAGTTCTACAGGAGCTTCTGCCGTCTTTTTTCTCTGGGTTGGCTTCTTTTCTAGGAAACAAAATATATAAAATGAACAAGGGTTCAAGTTGAGAGGATACTGCAACAGGATTTATCTTATATGACTAGTCATGGGCTGAGTGTGGCTCAGAGCATGAATTAGTTCCAGTGATAATCCCCAGTCTGTGAACACATACCTATCACCTTCTGGGTACGAAGCAACACAGCTTGACTACTTTGACCAGATCAACAAATAAAACAAGAAGAAGAGTAATAATCACCTGCTCCCAAATGGTAAAGTTACATGAATAAATACAATGGAAATGTGAAAAAATGGGAACAGGGTGAGCTGTTCAGGCACCCCATTTGGAGGGGGAGGGGAGGAGAATAGACCCACTGTTCTTTAACAAGTAGTTCCTAAAAGGCAACAAATTAAGAATTTGCAGAAGCTGGTTGTGCTGATTGAAAAGATGCAGATCACAGCCTAGGCGTAAACTACAACAAATTGTGAAAATTGCCCTTTTAAGGAAGAGAAACGAGGGAGGAGCTGTTGCAAATCCGGGAGCACATTACCAGTCTATCCTTCACTGAATCTGTTCGTCACGCTTTGTGTTTAGTGAGTTATGACTTGATGAGTTATGACTTGATGAGTTATGACTTGATGAGTTATGACTTGATGAGTTATGACTTGATGAGTTATGACTTGATGAGTTATGACTTGATGAGTTATGACTTGATGAGTTATGACTTGATGAGTTATGACTTGATGAGTTATGACTTGATGAGTTATGACTTGATGAGTTATGACTTGATGAGTTATGACTTGATGAGTTATGACTTGATGAGTTATGACTTGATGAGTTATGACTTTGATATAAGAACCCCCAAGTACTTCTTTTGCCTCTGGACAGTAAACTGTGAAAAGATGGAACAATGACGAAAAAAAAATATGTCAAATTATAGAAAAGATTTATTGGACTATGTCACAATAGCATATTAACATAACCATTATCATTTTATGACACAAATGACTTACTCTGTGTGTGTGGAGTTGGAGGTTTGATTTCAGCCAATCGCCAGTGTCCTTTCTGACCAACATGTGTTCCCGACAGAAAGTACTGGGGGCAACCAGTAGAAAGTGCTCCAGCCAGAGTTCCCATCCACTCGGATGTCTTCTTTCTATGCACGAAATGAAAAGGGATAATCAGGAAACTGTGATAAACCACACATTAAAGAACAGAATCATCAAATGTTATGTATACTCAGCCCTGCTGTGTGGTGCAGAGAACGATAAATAAACAAGTAGCTCAAAAATGGTTTGCCCACTTAGAGAGAATGCATTGTGACACCATACCATACAAAGCATACATGGAAAGAGAAGAAGGACGTAGAGCACGAGGTAGACCAAGAACAAGATGGAAGGATAACATCAGAGAAACTCTACAACAGCACGATGTGCCTTTGGTCGAGGCGGCCAGAAGAGCTAGAAACAGAACCTTCTATCTCCCTTGACACCCACAGCAGTAAAAGAGAGTGAAGAAGAAGAAGAAGAAGCTCAAAAATGGAAATGAGTCTCTGAAAATGTGGATATACAGAAGAATAGGTCATATTTTCTGAAGAAAAAACACAGTTAAATAAATAGATTCGAGAGAAGCTGCAAATAAAAAGAGATTTGCTGAGAGAGAAAAAAAAAAAAAAGACAAATGAAATATTTCGGCCACATTAAAAGATCTAACACTCTTTTTTAAAAACCATACTAGAGGAGAATGTTAAAGACAAGACAGCAAGAGATGGACAACAATACATTGTGGGAGCAAAAACTCTTCCTAATTTTTTAACTTAACTCTATAGTAAACTTCTCCATGTGATTTTTTACCTGTCTTTACTTCTAAGCTCCTTTCAGTGTAAAGACATTTCTAGATACCAGTGTCTTTTATTTTTGTTCACCTCTTGATTGACTGCAGTTTGTTTAGTTAACTCCCAAAACCTTATAAATTCACATATATAAATGTTGAAATATTTGTTCAACGCATTCTGTTTTTTTCTTTGATCACCCTTTAAAGGATGGTTGGCATATTGTGCTGCGGTTTACACTAGGTTGTGATTTCTGGGTTTTTCTGCCTAACATATCCGATTTCAGCAAATCCCTAATTAGATTTTTAAGACATGCTTGTTGGGGGGAAGGGGGAGGGGACAACGTGGCAAAGTGGTCAAACCATTTGCCTCACGCTTTAAAGGTCGTCAGTTCATTTCACAGCGCCGCCATTCAGCTCACGAGTGCAATTTTTACAGAGATCCCCGAGGATTATCACCGGAGCTACGGAGTGGCGCTCTGTGTGACACTCTTGGCAGACAGCCAGCTGTTCTGTGGAGAGAGACTGAGCCACATGGAATAAAACTCGGTGCAATGAAGTCTATCCTCTCAACTTTACCTTTAGGAGGGATGTGAGTCTATTGTTTTTTTCAATCGCCCGAAATTCAACATGGATATTTCTGTATCAATACGATTTTTCATAAATGTTTATGTCTAATCCAATTCTTACATTGACCTTCTCAATCTCAATTGTTACTGTACTTTGTCTTTTCAATGGTTCGTAAAATATGGTATTCCATCCATGATGCCGAAAGGACTGCACATGACATAATGGGAAAGAGGAAAAGGCTGTGAGCCCTATGTGGAACATAATGGCACAACAGGATGATGATAATACACTATAGCTAACAGCATAATGACAAGTGAGACCTGGGAAATCCAAACAAGGTATTCCAGTGCTGGTCAATGAAAGCACCTATGTGTGCCTTATAGTGAAAGTAGCCACATCTTCCCTGGCCAGTCTTGTGAAGGTTGTAGAGTGCAAGCATCACCACATCATGCCTGCAAACATCACATAAAATGCAAAAGAAGTTATCATAGCACCAGAAAATTCCCCTTGTGGGTTCCAGGGCCCTATTATAGGGAAAACAAGAATAGACCCACTGCCTACCCAAAGGCATGTTGTAAAAGTCGACTAATTGGGAGGTTCTTTCGAAGTCAGAGTGCATCTGCCTGAGAGGCAAGGAACCAGCAGTCTGCTTACAAATTAGTCAGACCTGTAAAGTGGATGCACATGTAACACTCAGGTTCTGGAACAGGACTGCACTCCAAAAGTGGATGTACAACCAGAACTTTCCGCCAGAGTTTACAGCTGGTGAACGCAAAAAAAAAGAAGAAGAAGATAGCGCTAGAAAATATATGGAAATCAAAGGAAATACACACTAACACTAAATTAAAATTTTTCTAACTCTAATTGTCAAATCAATACCTCAGTATGGAGTGGAAACATGCAGAACAACTTAAACAACCATCTTCGTCATCCCCGTTGGGGGATGCAATTTTTGGTTATTTTGAAGACCTACCCTGGCTGTTGCCAGCGGCTGCAATATAACCTAACAGGAGAACACCGTTTCCGGGACCTTTTCATGGGTGATTCTCATACGCATGGTGGCATCTTGTGTCACCAAGTGTTTATTGCTCAGTGTGATGTTCTGGTGGGGTTAAAAAACTTACTTACTTACAACTGAAACAGTTACTAATAAACTACAAATCTGCATTACCTGGTGCAGAATACAAGGAATTAAATGATATGATAAAATCAATATGTTAAGCTTTGGGAGAGAACTAAACAAATTCCAGTGAATCTTTTTCTTCTTTGCAATTGGTTTCATATACTCAGGTGGCATTGTGGTGCTGGGGTGTCTGTGGATTACCTACCTCCCCGGGCAGCAGCTAACTAATGCACAGTTCTAAAGAAAATATGGGTTGTGTTTCTGCCTTTCCCTTTAACACGTAGCTAAGGTTTCACAGTGTTCTCATTCCCCGCCACCAGATTGCCTGCAGGTTTCGCTGAGCTCTTCATGTCTCTAAGCATGGCCTAAGCATAGTAGTTGGGGCAACTGGATCGTCACGTCCTGAGTCCCTGTGCCTTCGCGATAGTTTCCGGTATTCAGGGGGGTTAGTCATCAAGTCTCAGTGAGAGAAGAACGCTACTCCTCTCCGACCAGACAAGTGGACTCCTGAGGAAAAGAACAGCTTGTGAAAACATGCAAATTCCATTACATCGCATTGGGCCAAAGGGCGAAAGCTCATGCGCCGCTGGATCGATAACAACAACAACAACATATACTCAGGTCAGAACATCAGGTGAGTTGCCTCTATGAACTCACATGTCAGCTGCAGGTCCTGTGTGGTTGGTTTAGTACGATGGTTGCTCTGCGCACTTTACTCCTGAGGCCAATTTTCTTTTTGAAGTTGTAGGTAGAGTATGCAGGTCTGCAGAATGTTCTCAGGTGTTTGTGGTCCTGTCTGACAGGTACTCTGTGGGGACTGTACAGTCTTTATTTTATCCATGTGGTATTTGAGCCTGCAGTGTCCTGTTCGTAGACAAAATTATTTTTCTTTTTCTCAAGCACTTTGCTTGTATCAATAATTGCTTGCTGCTCTACTCTGAAGTATGTTGAGAGTTTTCCGGTGGAACATGATGTTTCTACTGTGGTCCCTCCCATCTTGCAGCATGATGACCTATCCAGCTCCTCCATTTTTTTTCTGCTCACTCAATTAGGTGTATACGACGTATTACATGTATCAATTTAGGTTTTGGGTAAGAGTTGTAGACATGTTCAAGGGTCTTTGATGCAGTACTAGGTCACATTCTTCAGCCTCTGTGCCATACCTGGGATTGTTGCTGTGACTGTACAGTCAGACTGTAGTGAATCAAGAAGTGAGGAAAAGATACTGGTGTTGGTTAGGAACAGTGAGAAAACCTGAGAACAATACAACTAGAAGAGCTTTAAACTGGAACTCACAAGGACTTAGAAAAAAAAAGGCCGACCAAAAAGAATGTGGAGAAGGGAACTAGAGAGAAGTTAAAACACAGAGGTTCTCACACTTAACAATACATGACACATACCAGAACAAAGAGGTTTTCCCACCTACCAATATATAACACATACCAGAGCATACAGGTTTTCACACCTACCAATATATGACACATACCAGAGCTTACAGGTTTTCCCACCTTCCAATATATAACACATACCAGAACATAGAGGTTTTCACACCTATCAATACATGACACATACCAGAACACAGAGGTTCTCACATCTATCAATATCTGACACATACAAGAACATAGAGGTTCCCACATCTATCAATATCTGACACACACCAGAACATAGAGGTTCTCACATCTATCAATACATGACACATACCAGAACATAGAGGTTCTCACACCTACCAATCTATGACACATACCAGAACACAGAGGTTCACACACCTACCAATATATGACATACGATAACATAGAGGTTCTCACATCTATCAATACATGACACGTACCAGAACACAGAGGTTCTCACATCTATCACTACATGACACATACCAGAACAGAGGTTCTCACATCTATCAATATCTGACACATACAAGAACATAGAGGTTCTCACATCTATCAATACATGACACACACCAGAACATAGAGGTTCTCACATCTATCACTACATGACACATACCAGAACATAGAGGTTCTCACATCTATCACTACATGACACATACCAGAACACAGAGGTTCCAACATCTATCAATATCTGATACACACCAGAACATAGAGGTTCTCACATCTATCAATACATGACACATACCAGAACACAGAGGTTCTCACATCTATCACTACATGACACATACTAGAACATAGAGGTTCTCACATCTATCAATACATGACACATACCAGAACACAGAGGTTCTCACATCTATCAATACATGACACATACCAGAACACAGAGGTTCTCACATCTATCACTACATGACACATACCAGAACATAGAGGTTCTCACAAACTCCTCCTTCCCTCCATCAGAGGTTCTCACATCTATCAATACATGACACATACCATAACAAAGAGGTTCTCTGAAAAATGTATCAGCAAGGAGAGGTGAGGGCTGCAAACTTTTTATACAATCTGAAACAGAAGAGACACAGTTTGAACTGACAATATCTGAGTGTCTTTGCATGAAATGTACAAACAGACTGCTTGACCTATTGGCATTACACTGGGAAGATACCGTCTTTACCTGCAGACGACATACACAAAGGGTTCTCACATCTATCAATACATGTACCATACATTTCTCACACATACTACATGACACTGGGGATAACACAGTTGTTCTCACATCTACACTACATTACAGATGAGAGATACTGTCTGCATTCACAAACACTACAGAGGGGAGATACTGCCTGTATACAGACATTACAGGGGAGATACTGCCTGTATACACAGACATTACACTGGGGAAATACTGTCTCCATTCCCATACACTGCACTGGGGAATTACTGTCTGCGTCCACAGATATTACACTGGGGAGATACTTTATGCATACATAGACATTACATTGGGGAGATACTGTCTGCATACACAGATATTACAAAGGGAATAAACTGCCTTTATTTATGGGCATTAATCAAGGCTTGTAGAGGGCCTTGAGACCAGGAAAAACCTTGTCAGCAAAGTACGTCTTCTAGGTCCTGACAAAACCTGGGACAGTTTTCAGAAGGGACAAAAATCCTTCAAAATCTTCCAAATGTAACATGGGAAATTGACAATGAAACGAGTGTTCACTGGAAGCATGTGATCTGACCTTCTCATGGCTACTATAATTTCAAATGTGTAAGCTTCAGTAAACTGGAAGCTGCATGCTGAGCACAAAGGGATCTTTCACAACATCACACGCTGTTTATAATCTGTACTGGGAAAAGGCAGGTTATGGACAAACAGGTACAACTGGGCGACAAAGGTCAACTCACCATAATGCACATGTTTGTTGCATCGCTGACACTTGAAATACAATAACTGCTCCCAGGATTCCTCATGTTTCCAGCAGTAAGCGCAACAAGAAAATGTTGACTCCATACTCCTCTATTTTACAAAGAACATTTTTAACATAGATGAGTTTTGTTAGGTAAAAGTAAAATGAAATTGTTATGATTCACAAATGCAAAAGTCACTGAGAGTACCATAAAAGATACATTTGTTTGTTCTCAAAATAGGTCCTATCCGTGTGGGTTCTGGGGCCCCATTGTGGGGGAAAAATAATAGACCAACTGCCACCCCAACAAGCATGTCATAGGAGTCGACAAATTAGGGCTTCCTTCGAAGTCTGAGTGCATCAGTCCAAGCAGCAAGGAACAACCAACTATACACAAATAAGCCAGTGAAACCATTGTGCATGCAAAACTCCGGCCCTGGCACATAGCCTAAGTCCAAATGGATGAACAACCTGGACTTTTTACTAGAGCTTATAGCTGGGGAAGAGAGAAAAAAAAATAGGCCTTAAAATTTGGCGGTGTCTTATACAAAAAAGGTAGGCTATTTTCCACAGTTGCTCTCACTCTAGCTTTTCACTTCCAAGATCTTGGAATGCTTCTTAATGAAGTGATACCAATGCGAGCTATACATGAAAACGAGAGGAGAACAGTATCCCCTGAGAAATGAGTGGCTGAGGAACAACCTAATTCTCTGTAGGTAGTAACATTCATTTCCTCACTTTAAAGTGGTGTCTGCTTCAGTTTTTTTGTCCCCCGTGTGGGTTCTTGGGCCCTATTGTGGGGGAAACAAGAATAGACCCACTGCCTCCCCAAAAGCATGTTGTAAGAGTCGACTAATTGGAGAGCTTCCTTTGAAGTCCGAGTGCATCTGCAGGAGAGGCAAGGAACCAACAGTCTGTATTCAAGAGAATGAGATCTGTAAAACTGATGCACACGCAACACTCAGGTTCTGGAGCAGGACTGCAGTTCAGTAGTGGACGAGCAACCAGAACTTTCCGCCAGAGTGTACAGCTGGTGAATGCGAAGAAGAAGAAGTTCTTTTGTTTTTAATTGATGGAAGGGGGGTGAGATCATCATATGATACTCAAAGCTGATTGGTTATGAATGTACAAATGCTTACTGCATCAGTATTTTTTTGTGTTGCTAACCGCATCAGTCAATATTTTTGGTTCGTATGTTACAGTTGCAGATTAGACCTGAACAAACAGTTCACAAGTCTGTCTATGTGATCACAATTCTGGTATGCAAAATGATAGAAGTGGCATTCCTAAACCATGAGTTTTAAACTGCAGCTGATAAAACATGCAAAAGAACATGGCAATAGGTCAGGAGAGACATCATTGTGAACACTCACCAACAAGGTAAATTACTAAGGCTTTGACGATCCCAGGAGAAGTTTTTGTGCAAGATGCAAAAAAAGTAAAGCTTGTGCAACATGGCAAAAGTGTAACATAGCCTTAATTAGAGACTGGTGTATTGATATGGGTGTTGAGAAAACTGGGAGAAAAGCATTGCCATTTGAATAAAAATGATAAACATACATACAGTAAAGTTAACGGTAAGCATAAAAAAGTGCTTTTTGTTTCATCGGGTTGGGAGGGGGGCAGGGGGTGTAGTGTTACCCCTTTATTATGCAAAGTGGACTGTCTATGCACACAAAAACCAAAAAATGTTGAAGGAATATGAAGAAACAATTATTTCCCTACATCGTTTTGTCATCCATCATCAGAAACACACAAATGTTGAAACTGGACAGATTGGAAAGAAACACCACGGACTTTTGGTGTTTCTTCAAACAAGAAAGATGGGACTGAATTTAAAGGTTTCTGGTAGTCAGTGGATAATTTTTAATATTGGCTGGTTTTTTTCTTTAAATCTTGAGTTTTTTCTGAACAAAAAAAATTGGGGTGAATCTGATATAAGGCAGTGTCAGCATAGCCTATTTGGCTTAATAAGCATCAATGCCCTTTAGCCTCGTTGCCACATACACCATTAATTTGGGGAGTATGTGGCTTTTTTTCCATCTCCCGGTTCGAATCCGAGACTGGACTCACAGGGGGATTGTCACCTGATGTCCAACGCACTATTAACTAGGCTGTTGCGCCAGACTATACACTGACAAATATGGTATTTTTTACAACTGCAGCACATCTAAGGGACTGCTTGTTTTTGTCACAGATAATTATACATTACTATTAACAATCAAGGTGTGTCGGCACACGAACTGATACATGCTGCAGGAGATCGCGGATTATGGAGAGGCATGATCGCCCATGCCAGTCGGCAAGGCACCTGATGATGATGATTAACAATCAGTGGTGTATGCTCACTAAGTTGGTGTTGCATCAGACCTTTCTATTTCTAGTGATCGGATGAAAATTAAATGGGGGTTTATTCCATTTAATGCATCACCCTGTTTGTTGATTAACCCTTTCACATAATTTTACCTCTTTAAGTCCCAAGGAACGCATGATACATTTATAGGTTACTACCTAGAAGCCCAATGAACGCATGATGCGCCGATTTTACGTCTTTTTTGACTACCGCTTGGGCCTGTGATGCTAAACCCTCTGGGACTCAAAGAGTTAATGAATTTATTAGTGACCTGTGTATAGCTGTGTTTCTTATTTTACATACTTTTTCTGAACTTATAACAAGGTCATGGCCTATTTTTATAGTGTTCTCAGGGTAAAATATTTAACAGATTATAGGTAGCTAAGCCAGGACATGCCTAATATCTTGGTCAGCTGTGATGTCTTAGTCTGCCAGTGACTTCTTCAATTTATCTTCTTCTAGGTTGCTCTCTCTCTCTCTACCTTTTATGTTTCCATTTCCACACGCTGTATGCTCTCACTGATGAAACTGCTGGATTAATTTTCCATAGGTGGCTGAACAATTTTATTCTTTGTTTCCTAATTAATTTAACCATGGGTATTGTTCAACAGGCGGCGTCCGTGGCTAAGGCGTTGCGAGTCTGACTCGTAATCCAACGTACCGCGATCGAAACCTGCGTGGGCTGCGTGGATTTTTATCGTGGTATGGGACGTCGCAGGTCGACCCAGCCTCAAATGGGTACCAGGATGGGCTGTCCTGGGAAAGTAAAGACGGCCGGCGTAATGCTGACCACATTACCCACCGAGTGCCAATTGTTCTGTAAAAATATGGGTGCTCTTCCCATATGCCCGATGCGCCTAAAGGCGTGTAAAGGGATCTTTACTTTTTTTTTTTTTAATTGTTCAACAGTTAAAATCTCTTCATTTCTAACATGATCCTGCCTCATTTTGTTCAGACTTTCTTAAGCATCTCATTTCACATATGTGGTTAGTTTTTTTCATGTGCTCCTTAATTTATGTCCAGGTCTGACACTGGAAACTAAAGTTCAGATAAAAAATAAAGTAATAATCTCTCGTCTTTTTTTTTTAATTTTTTTTTTTTATTGGAATAGCCGGGTGTTGGAGGTTAATTTTAATACCCTACACGCCGATGACTTTGCAGTTTGGACAGCCTCCGAATACACTACCACAGCCTCAATCTGTTACAAAAAACTGTGGAAAATGTAGAAGCCTGGACCGAAAAGTGGGGTCTAAAGCTAAATAAATCAAAAAGCACAGCATCACTTTTCTCTCTCTCCCCAAAAAAAGAAAAAATCGAAATTCGGATTAAAAACCAACTCATTCCACAGACTGACACTCCTACCTTTCTGGGCGTTACACTTGATTCGCGACTAACTTGGAAGTCACATGTAGAAGCAGTACAGGGAAAAGCATTCAAGAAGCTTGCAGTTATGAAAAAATTAGCGGGTACCACATGGGGCGCTAACTCTAGAATCCTAAAACAAGTATATACTGGAGCAGTCAGGCCAGTCATAGAATATGCCTCCACTGCATGGGCTGCAGCAGCCAAGACAACAATTGGAAAACTGGACAAGGTTCAGAATATGGGATTAAGGATTGTTCTCGGAGCCATGAAAACCACCCCCATCAAAGAAATAGAAAAGATAGCAGATACTGAACCACTCGAACTCAGAAGACAATACAAAACTCTTTTACAGTATGAGAAATTAAAAAGACTTCAAAGTCACCCACTGCATTTTAAATTTCAAGAGAGATAAAAAAAACAGACAGAAGCGTCGGAGCCCCAACCACCTTGATAGAGAACTGTACAGACAGCACCAAGATCTGCTTGAAAGAGATGTTGCACTGTGCGAAAAACTTGGGCCAGAACCATGGACAAGCAAGCCAGAGAAAGCAAATGTAGTCCTAAAGGTACCAGGAATCACTTCAAAAGATGCCCAGACGGAGACACAACAGAGAACCCTGGCTCTTGCTATGCTTGATGAGAAGTATCCAAACACCACTTGGACTCAGGTTTTCACCGACGGCTCTGCTACAGATGCAGTCAGAAAGGGGTGTTGTGGAATTTACATTAAACCCCATAGCAGTAGAGCAGAAACTCTCTCTCTACCAGCAGGTGACATCTGCACTAACTTCAGAGCTGAGGCAACTGCCCTCCTCTCTGCAGTCCAACATCTCATCACTCAAGAACACAGAGGGCACCAAATTGTTATACTTAGCGACTCATTATCTGTTCTCCAAGCACTATCCAGCAAAAAACAAGACAAAATAATTGCTGATCTAAGGACCAACATTGGCTTACTCTCCAAGGAAGCAGAACTGGTCTTGCAGTGGATACCAGCCCACTGTGGTATTCAAGGAAATGAGAGAGCAGATGAGTTGGCAAAAGCTGGGAGTAATCTTCCACAACCTCATCCACCACACAGCTACAAGGAAACCAAAACAGTGCTAAAGCAGTCTTTCAAGCGGGAGTGGAGAAGGCAGAATGGAGATTACAGACCAGAGAGTGACAGCATAAACAAACTCAACAGGAAAGAACAAACATCAATTCTTAGACTTCGGACTGGACACTGTGGTCTTCGAGCACACTTGTACAGGATAGGCATAAAAGAATCTGCTGCCTGTGATTGTGGAGCAGAAAGACAAACCCCTGAACACATACTGCAGTACTGCCCTTACCTCTCCCAGCAAAGACTGTGGATCTGGCCCAAAGGAGCCACATTGCAAGAGA